AAATTATTGATGTTGGTATATGATTAGAACACGCGAGAAGTGTATACGTAGGTAGTTTGTAGGAGCGAAGATATACTGAAGGTTGTTGACTCTGATAAGAAGTTATAGTAAACCTGTGTTTTTTGAGAAGAATGAAATGGGTCAAGAGCAAATGCGGATCAACGAACGTTAATTCCTGAGCTGACCTCAAATCTTAACCACCCGTTATCTTTCGCGAGAAACAACATCTACCAGGCTTGGAAAATATAAACCACAGCAACGGCCAGACAAACTAGGGGATATGAAATTAAGTTAATAATGACTTTGGAAGATTTCGAAAAAGAACTGGCTGCGAGTCAGAAGGAAAGAGAGCGTGAGAAAACTAGAGAAAAGTATCGAGAGAGAGATCGGGATTCGGACAAACACAGGCACAGAGATGAGGAGAGAGTCGGGGAGAGAGACAGGAAATATAGGCATTCCTCCAGTCACCATAGCCGCGACCGCCACCACCATCACTCCTCCCGACACAGCAATTCCAACCTCGACGATGAAGACAGACGCAGACACAAGCGCTCACGCCATTCCAGCAGCAACGGCAATGAGGATCGCGAGCACTCCCACAAACGCAGATCTAGGCGGGAGGAGGAGAGCAGAGGCGGTAGCAAGGATGAAATACCTGACCCTACAGAATCGAACACAACTCCGCCACCAATTCAAAAAGAAGAGCCTACGGGACTAACACGGGATTCATGGATGGAAGCGCCCTCCGCTCTGGATATTGACTACGTTCAACGTCCCAAACCCGAACAGCAGGAACCTCCCGCTTCCCGGATGCTGCAAGCGGACTTTGGGTTAAAGTTGCATAAGAGAGAGTTAAATCGTCATTTACATGATATTCATGAGGAGGAGGAGGAGTTGGAGCCAGAACCAGAACCTGATACCAAGGGACTAGAGGAACCGGTAAAACACGAGGTGGATTATACATTTGGTGATGCGGGCTCTCAATGGCGCATGACAAAGCTGAAGGCCGTTTATAGACAGGCGGAGGAAACGGGAGCTAAGGTTGAAGATATCGCCATTGAACGGTTTGGGGACCTACGTTCCTTCGATGATGCGAGGGAGGAGGAGATTGAACTGGAAAGGAGGCAAACATATGGTGAGGGCTATGTTGGCAAGGAAAAACCTTCCGGCGAACTCTACCAGGAGAGAAAGCTTGCTATGGGCGTCAGAGAGAAAAGGGATATCCGGGCAGAGGAGGAGGAACCGAACGATGGCCAACTGCACCCTGGCCGTCAGTCTGTTGAGAGGAACCCGGTTGTTGGGCAGCAGCAGACAAAACAATCGAACCCTACAGATCTAAACCGGCTCAAAGCGCAGATGATGAAAGCAAAGCTACGACGCGCGTCCAATGCGGCAGAGCTAGAGGCAGAATATAATGCTGCCGCGGCATCCATGGCGAGCCGCAAAGATTCTGATGTGGTGGTCCTGGGGGTGATGGAAAATAGGCTTCTTGCTGGAGGTGAGCGGTCAGAAGTCAAGCCGGTGGAGACTAAGAGGGGGAAGGAAAGGGGTTTAGTGCAGGAGAATGAAGACATGAGTATTGAGGATATGGTTCGAGAGGAACGGAGGACTCGTGGCCAAGCTGGAGGGGAAGGACAACGGTTTGCGGAAAGAATTGCTAAAGATGCGAAATTCGATAATGACCTCGAATACATGGATGAAAACGCAGCGAAGCTCGCTAAACGCGTGCAAAAATCAGAAATCAATCTCAAAAACACAGCCATTAGTCAATTCCAAAAGGTGAACCGCATCCTCGATAGCTGCCCACTCTGTTACCGAGAAAACACAGAGACGCCACCCCTCGCCCCTGTAGTATCGTTAGCCACCAGGGTATATCTCACTCTGCCTACGGAACCGGAGCTCAGCGAAGGGAGCGCATGCATCGTCCCGATCCAACATCACAACAATCTCCTTGAATGCGACGACGATGAATGGGAGGAAATACGAAACTTCATGAAGAGTCTAACGCGAATGTACCACGACCAAGGTCGCGATGTAATCTTCTATGAAAACGCAGCACAACCGCAGAGACACCGCCACGCAGCCATGGAAGCTGTTCCTCTGCCCTACAGCCTGGGCGAGATGTCGCCGGCGTTCTTCAAGGAAGCCATACTTGCCGCGGACGAGGAGTGGACACAACACAAAAAGCTCATCGACACTTTAGCGCAGGCACGCAGTGGCCTGGGCAAACTGGCGTTCCGCCGCACGATAGCGAAAGAGATGCCGTATTTTCACGTGTGGTTTGAGCTGGACGGGGGGCTGGGGCATATTGTTGAGGATGCCAATCGGTGGCCTCGTGGGGATTTGTTTGCGCGAGAGGTCATTGGCGGCATGCTAGATCTGGAGCCAGATGTGATTAAGCGGCAAGGACGGTGGCGGAAAGGGGGTGATGGGAGGGTTGATGGGTTTAAGAAGCGGTGGAGGAAGTTCGATTGGACAAGGGTGCTGACGAAGGGGTGAGTGATTTACTGTTTATATATTCTGGATGCTGGTGTATTTGCGTTCTTTTGGCCATTTTATCTCACCTGCACATGCGCAAAAAGATGAACTTGGCAGGGTTGTTTAAAAGGGGGGGGTGGGAGATGCGAAGTGTATTTCATGCAGCAGATAAATAAATATTCAGACTGCTTGTCTCAATTCTATTCTCATGCCAGCATCCACGACATTGGTATTTATCACCTGCAATTTGTCATTCCCAGTGTAGGCACTCTCTTGCTCGACTGAAAGTCCCATCGCCCAATACTAAGACGAGTATGTGTTTTTCTCCTCCAGCTTTAAATATACACAACCGGGGCAAAATACACAGGATAAACGGGGTTCTCAGGTAGCCTGATAAGATAACCGAAGACAGTGTCTTGCCAGCTACACTCCCGTAGTTCTTTGACCCGATTGCTATGTTGGCCCCCGCACTGCTAACTATATATGGCGTCCCATGCCCGTCCAACCATGTGGAGATTTTTAAGATATATGAGTAAAATCCGACCTTTGATAACCGGGCTGAAGTTGACTTTTGTACCCAGCCGAACTATATATTTAGTAAACTGATAGTTATAAACTAAACTAGTTCGTTAACTGATTATCACATCCATCTCTCGTGCGCTGATTGTTCAAGCTCCTGCACAATTCAAACTAACTCGGGTCACAGCGTCACTGTTGTTTTTGCTTTTTCTCTCGTCCCGATCTCCATGTAGTTACGGAGTAGCCGGGGCTTTTTCCGACAGTCTGGGATTGATTGTATAAAGATACATTGAAATCATCCCTTCTGCCGACCCCCTTTTTAAACCCTTAACCTGCGGAATTCCTCTGTGTCGAATTCCATCATATCCCGCATTCTTGTTTTACCCATCCTACTCTTGTTCGGTTCGGTTATAAGGTTACCCATATTTTTAAGAGTTACCGTATGTGGTTGAGCGCAGGGCCGGTAAACTTGAACGCCAATTTACGGAACCTGAACCCTATTAGAGAGCTCCTTATATAACCGACTCGGTACCTTGTTCTTTTTCATGTCGTGAAGATGTCGGAACCCAGACATACTTGCTGACTGGGATACGACAGAAGCAATATCCCACTGTGCAGTTTAACTTCTGCTGCCAGTTGATATGGGATCCAACAACAAGCCGAAGGTGCTGCTACTGGGCATGATCGAACAGTAAGTCAACCTTCGAACATATCTGCTCCCCCCGCTTATCTACCAATTGTCTGCTGTCAGTGTGGAATGCATGGAAGCTGTGTTGCCAGATAGGATGGCATTGCCTCCTCCTCTTTTTTTGGTCATCTTCTCCCTGCCAGTTCCCGGCAACTATATCTGCGCAATTTTGTATATTCCTTCTTTCTCTGCTCCCAACCACGAATAGTTTATATTCTGTGCATGTTCTATAGATGGACGCATATAGCAGCAGACAGTGCTGATCTCCTTTGATTCATCCCTTGAAGTGCCCATGCAGCATGGAAAGCTCTCGGAGAGATCGCAGTGCTGGTCACCCCGTTGGCCACCAATCGTGCAGAATTCATCCAGGAATGCCTGAGCGGCAAACTCGATGGCGTTCTCGTGGCTTATCGGACTTTTGCGTCATCGAGTATTACGGGTTTAATTGATGAGGAATTAGTCAATGCGCTACCGAAGTCGATAAGATATATTGCGCATTGCGGTATGTCCTGGTCTATTTATCGATTTCTTTTGCAAAGAAGAATACCGTTGCGATTTCTACTCGGGACGAAAATTGTTCTCACAACGTCTTTCAGGGGCGGGATACGATCAAATCGACGTTCATGCCTGCAGCGCTCGGTCTCCGCCGTTGCTTGTCTCCAACGTCCCAACAGCCGTTAACGATGCAACCGCAGATGTAAACATGTTCCTAATAATTGGTGCTCTCCGAAACTTCAATACGAGCATGATTGCCCTGCGGGGAGGGAAATGGAAAGGTCTACCGGCTCCCACGCTGGGCCATGACCCTCAAGGCAAGGTCCTCGGAATTCTAGGCATGGGCGGAATCGGCCGGAATCTGAAAAAGAAGGCTGAAGTCTTTGGAATGAAGATTATCTACCACAACCGGAAGAAGCTGCCTGATGAGCTAGCCGACGGGGCTGAATATGTACCACTTGACGAATTGTTGCAGAGGAGTGATGTGATTAGTTTGAATTTACCGTTGAACGTAAGTTTACTTTTGCTTTTTCGCTTTTTCCTTATTTTTTAGCTCTTTTTCTTCATTCTTTTAGCCCCTTGCGTGTCCAAGGATGATATTTCCTCTTCTCCTGCCATTCATCAATTCATTTGACATGCCACCCTCTTAACAAACGTATTCCAAACATTCTATTCGCAAAGAAAAATACCCGCCATATAATCAACCACGACGAATTCTCCAAGATGAAGGACGGCGTCATCATCGTAAATACCGCCCGTGGCGCCGTCATCAACGAGGATGCCATGGTTAAAGCCTTGGACAGCGGCAAAGTGCGCTCCGTCGGCTTGGATGTGTTCGAGGACGAGCCCAATGTGCATCCAGGCCTAATACGGAACCCAAATGTCATGCTCTTGCCACATATGGGGACCTATAGCGTTGAGGTACGAATATATGCTTTGTGTCCAACTCCGGGGTTGGGATTTGACTCATCCGAAAATTACAGACTCAAACGGCAATGGAAGAATGGGCGATTGACAACGTGCGCCGTGCCGTTGAGACGGGAAAGTTGAAATCGCCCGTCCCTGAGCAGGCAGAGATGTCATTTGTATCCTGACATCGTTTTAATCTAAGCTGGTAATTCATCCATTCCCCGCTTCCCCTCCTCTCTGCTTCATTTCTTTTTTTTTTTTATTTCATTTCTAAGGATATTTGCACCTGTCAGAATATAGACTTTTTGAAAAGACGGCCAAGAAAAAAAGGAAAAGAAAAGAAACGAAAAGAAAGAAAGAAAGAAAAAAGAGAGAGAAAAGAAAAGAAAAGAACCCCTCAATGAAAGTCAACTCTTGGGGAAAATCTTGAATATTGGGCGGTTAGATTCGTTCTGCAAAAAGGGAGGATGGTGTTTGTTTCTGTTTTTAGTCTCCTCGTACGTTAGATTCATTGCATTCTTAATTACTAGGTATATTTATATCCATTTTATGTAACAGGAGGTCTTTTCAAGGTACACATATGCACATGCATTACTGTAACCAGCAACATGCATACTCGTGTCCACGTAGATGCCTGCGCAACCCGGCCATGCTGCAACCAAACCTGACGCAAGTTCGTTTCATCATCAAGTATTAAATCTCTTAACGAGCTCGCCGCATTGTACATTCAGTATTCAATTGATCAGCCTTCTCATCTACAACTTAAATTTTCATTTAAAGTAAAAACTTACAGACAGACACATCTATTGTTAACGTTGTAAATAAGTAACATTGCAAAAGGTAAGAGAAATTAAATAACACTGGTCACAGATCAATCCATTATTAGCCCATCCAGCCTTAAGAAAAGCCCAACACATTTTTTGTTGCCTTATTAACCAAAAATACAGCAGCAGCAGCAGCAGAAGAAGAAGAAGAAGAAGAAGAAGAAGAAGAAGAAAAGCAAACCAGGAGAAAAAGTGATAATTGCAGAATGACAACATGATAAACAAGGATCATCCCAGTGGGCATCAAAAGGGAAAGGTATAAAGTGCAAAATCAAACACGAACCACTTCAACCTTCATGCTTGCTTTGTTATCAATAGTTGTTTGTTATACAGGATTTATAATAAATGAAATTAGGTATTTCGGGCAAGAAAGTTACCTCATAGAAAAACATGCAATCCGTCCCAACATTCAAATTAATGGAAAAAAAAAATATCAAACGAAAAAGAAAATGGCATTCCCATAATTAAATGAATATAATTATGACGCCACCTACTGATCCTCCCAATACTTAACAACCATCCCGCACAATCGCTTAATAACCTGATTAGTCCCCTTGCCATGACTCTCATCCTCCAAGAACCTAACAGCAACGTACAACTTCGCCGCAGCATCCTTCTCATCTGTGCTGGCAATTGTCTGCTTCACCTTGCGCGGTTGAAACTTGGCAATATGCCGCACAACGGCGATGGAGTAGATGACGTCGCGGTTCTCAAAGGTATCCAACAGCCCACGACAGGATGTCAAGGCTGCCTCCTTTCGTTTCCGGGAGTTGATGTCATCCTGTGAGATTGTGAGATAGCGACCGACGGATTCCCAGAAATCGACCTCCCGGGCTTTGATCTGGTTGCCGATGCCGGGGAGTCTGTGTGCTGGGTCAGATTCTGGGTAACTGTCCAGACTAACTGGGTTGGCATCGAGGTAAGAACCGGTTATAAGGGCTTCGAAGACGGCTAGCCTTTTCACAGCGTAGAGGAGCTCGACATCGGTGGAGGTGGGTGTTTGGGAGCTGGAGCCCGAACCGTTGGTGTTAGGTTCTTTGGCGCAAGCGACGCGTGTTAATGTTAATGTTTCCCAGATGACGGAAGCCTCGAGGCTCTCGACACGTGCCAGCACAGCGGGGTCGTGAATATTGCGGTCGTTGAAGCCATCGAGGAGGGCGGAGTAGTATGATAGGAGGCGGGTGTTTGCTAAAAGATGCGCCATTCCTCTTGATTCAAACCACGTACATTCGAGGAACTTGTCGATCGCCATAGCGTATGAGAGGTATACGAGTTTGATTTCTTCGATTCGAGATGCGGGGATGGTTTTAATTTCTGGTGGAGGAGATACATGTCCACGAACGGACAGAAGGTCTATAACCCTCACAGGTTTTACTATATGGGACACGAATATTAGCACAAGTCAAGAAGTAGGGTGAGAATGTAAGGGAATATATTACATTGTACGTCCTCGAGCCCAAACATGACGGAATCTGAAGTTTGTCCTCCTTCGCTTGAGTTTTGCACAGCTATGCTTGGGGATGCGACTCCTTCCAACGCTGGATCAATTGCCCCTCCGTATTCAAACTGACTAACTGAAGGAGACGATGATGAGTTTGTCGTGGGCAAAGGCGGTTGCGCAAAGGACTGAACTTGGGCACTGATATATGCGGGGTTGCCTTGAGGCGACACTAGTAACGACGGTTGAGATGGCGCAGGTTGTAGGATTGAGGGACCTGGTTGCGGTCTGAATACCGGGTCGTACCCAAGGCAATCACGTTTGCTTTTTTCACAGTTCCTGCAGACAGGATGCCTCTCATCACACTGTATACAGGTGAGGGGGAGGACAGTCAGCTTGAATTAAAATTGAAATGAGTGGATGAGAGCACACAGCGACAATTGCACAAGTAAAAGAATAAATGATCAGCAAGATCAGATAAAATAGGAAATAAAAAATGTGCTAAATAAAATTGAGCTTTCGTCGACGGGGTTCAGAGCTTTTAGAAAACTTAATAAATATAGTAATGAGGGGAGAATGATGCAGCTTCTGGGTTAAGCGATCTCCTTGATTAAGCGAGCTTCATGCAGCCATAATGCGGGGGAGAACAAAAACTCCGTCCCTGCGGCAACAAGGCAGTGCTGATCAACCTCACAACACAATTTTCCGTGCAAAAATTATGTTGTCAATTTAAATAATAATCTCACCTTTATTCTGCGCTTTCTGCAGGTGAGGCAACCAGTTTTTGTGCGTCGCTTGACTTCCTTTTTGTGCCGTTCACTAGAGAGCCCACGATTCGTCTCACCCACGATCGGAAACGTGTCAGGGCTGGACATAGTTCCAGCCATAGTATAGTATTGGGGGATATTTGGCGGAGGCATGTTCATCGATGTATTGGTTGAAGGGGAGATAATGGATGGCTGCGCCTGCGGCATCTGGTGGGTTTGGGCTTGGGGTTCTATCGATTGAATTGAAGGGAGGTTCATCTGTGGTTGGTTCATCGCCGTCTGCGAGCCCGCAGATGGAGGCTGATAAAGCTGGAGCTGTTGGACGGGATCTGTAAGTTGCGGTAGGGGTTGCTGTTGCACAGGTTGTTGCAGTGACTGCGGCTGCTGCGGCTGCTGCGGCTGCACGGGCAGCTGTGGTATTTGTGATGGCGAAAAAGGTAACGAGGAGTGGACGGGAGGATTTGAGGGAGGTGGGGCATTCTGCGTGGAGATAGAAGGCGTCGACATTGAAGCAACTTGGGAGTGATGGTTTGGCCACGGTTCCGTTTCCTTGGGCAGAGTGGTGTCTGTTGCTGACGGCTCTGCAGCCGTTCGTGCTGTCTCTGACATTATTCCCAACCCCGCCAACACAGCACTCTCCCTTGCCGTGGATATTCCCAGTAATACGTTTGACTGCTATGGATGCTGCCGTGGGGGGACTATTGAAGTTATACCGTCGAACTTGTCATAGGGCGGAGGATATTCGAATGGATGGCGATGGATAGAGGAAGACGACAGAGGCGTCATTGAAATTCGATTTAGTTGTAGCGCATGGGATTCGAGGCACCATAACACTGCGACCAGGTCTATTAGCTAGAGTAATTAACGCGACATGTTTCTATGAGATATGACGCCTAATGAGAAGAGCTGTATTGTTGAGACTTGGAAGCTGTCCATAACATAGTTCCAACGGTGATTGAGTGCCCATAGAACGTAGCTATTTCACAGTGAGGCCATCGAATCATCAAGGGGACTGGAAGGACATCATCCAAGACCCGACTTGCAGCGGTCATCAGCAAGATGAGGCCACCGGCACAAATTAAAAGCTGAATATCGATATAGATTCCCTGATTGCGAAACAGGAAAACGCGTCTCGTCCGCGCAAAAGCGCAGTGTAGCCATTTAGTGTAGAAACAGCAGCGAAACAGCAGCGAAACAGCAGCACCAGAGAACAACCAAAAACCCGCTCAGTCCTAAAGAGCAACAGCAGGGGGGATGAAGGCGGAAAGGGAACACGCGGGCGATGGAATTATTTTGGGGGAGGGGATTTAATGGAATGGGGAGGGGGGTAGCTCAAGCGAGACCCCGTCTGTGGACCAACGTACCTGGGGGTGAGAAAAGGGACTAAGCGAAGGGGAATCCAACCGAGTCCTTCGACCACGTAGTTTGACTGTGACCACAGCAGGATGATACTCTGGCCAGAGCGACGACTTTGGTGGTGGCTGCGAGTTCAACGGACAATAAACGCAGCGGATGGATGCGTTAACTTAAAACTCGACTACGTTAGTTAACTAAATGGTTGGTTGGACTTAAACAGAGCGCAAACAATATGAAGTGGCAATTTGAATCCAAGGGCAGCGGATATGCTACACCGCAGAGAGACAGAAGAGAAGGCAGATGTACAGGAGGGGATGGACAGAAGAGATGTTCTATGCTTATGAATGCCACGGGTTTTAGTGATGGTGGTTTATTATGTAGAAGCAAGGAAACTGAGGGTGGTTGAAGAGTGGTGGTCTCTTTGGCTGGGAAGGAAATTGTGGGGAGTCCATGGTTTTTCTTATAAAATATCTGGATTAACTACTTCACACAGCCATTTCACATATTAGAAACAACCAGGTTCCTTGATATTCAGCACTTTTGTGATTACTTTTGATATAATCTATGTATTTATATTTTATGAAAGATGGATCCTTGAATAAATACACTGGCATTTTTCCCCGTAACACCTGCTGAGGGCTCATAACTTCTACAAATAACTATAGATCGAGATTTCATCATTATCCATGCACACCCCTCGAAACTTCATTTCTTCCTTGAAGGCAACTAACTTTGTTAATAAGTCATAGATGTGCCACCACGTATCATCCATGGACGGACCGGCATTTAAACTGCATGCTGTAGTCAAGCAGTTCGTGGATAGGAGTTCCATTGCAACGTGGGAGGGGGGCACCGGTCGGATAGGCCCGCTGTATCAGCCAACTTCGATAAGTCCACCATAAGATGCAGACCCATATCCTCCAAGCCACATAAAGATCTTTCTTCTGCATATCATAGATGAGTCCATCTACCTCCAGCTAAAACAGTCCGCAAATGGGTAGTCAGTCGGCCTTGAATGTCTTCCAAATCCCAAATGGTCCCGGCATTACGATATAATCCCAATGGAAAGTATGATGGGGTTTCTGACCCGGAGAGACACTCAATAGCTCTATCCGTGTAGCGATAAGAAGTCTAGCATTCCTGCGCAGAATACCAACTCAAGTAGCATGTAGTCAGTCAATCACCTAGCATGCTTCGGTTTGCGCTTTTTGAAAACAACAGCCGGAACGACTTCCTCCGACGCATCCTTCGCGGCCTCGGGAATCGACTTCGACACATCCTGGCCATCCTTTTCCTCCTCAACCTTCACCCCCGTAGACCCATCTACAATTTCTTCCTTTTTAACCTGGAAAAAACTACCATGATCCGCATTCTCACTCTCTCTTTTCACCACCCCCTCCTCTCCAAGCCCCTCCTCGTCTTTCGCCTCTACCTTTATCTCCGCCTCCCTTTTCCTCCTTTTCAACTCCGCCGTCTTCTCCAACAACGCATCTAGATCATCCTTCTCATCTGCTCCGGGGAACCGTCGCGTCGTCGACCCCCACCACTGCCTAACCACCGTCTCCCCCGCCGCCTCCTCTTCCTCCTGCCCCTCAAACTTCCTCTTCCTAACACCAACATTCAACGCAGCCCTCTCATCCACCTCCGCATCCTTCTTCTCCACAGGCACTTCCTCCACAACCTCCCAATCTCCCGCAAGCGCCATATCCTTCCTAAACTCCTCCGGAATCGCCACGCCCAACTCCACCAACTGCGCCAACTGCTCTTTCCGCTGAGCCGCCATTACGGAACGCGATGCGGTTGAGTTTCCGGTTCCAGTTCCAGTTGCGGTTGAATTTACACCTGTACCCACCCCACGTTTCCATGGTGGTTGTTGTTGGTCTCCGCCTTGCTTCGATCCGGAGACAATTCTATCTAACCGCGCTATTTCATTTTTGGCTCTTTGGCGCTCCCGCTCTTCCCGCTCGCTGTTGCGGTGGATATCACGTAGGAAGCGCTTTAGGTTTCCTTGGTGTTTGCCAGTGGCTTCGTGCTGTGTGCGTTCGAAGGATGTGTCGCGGACGTAGATCTTGCAGTGCTTACACCAGTATTTCGGCTGGAGAGTTGTTAGCAGCTTTCTTTGCTAGTTTACTGGGGTGAAAGGGCTTAAGGAGAAGACATAGTTTGAAATAACTTACAGTGGACTTCCAGTATTCTGCCATGGTAAACTTTGATTGGGAGCGTAAGTTCTCAGTCTAGAAATTTCGAGACCTGCCATGGGGGACATGGCAGAAAAGGAGGTTGAAGTGACGTTGCATGACATGGAACTGCTTATATAATACGAATTTCGAGAGAAGGGTTTGTTCCACAGATGAACGATATACTTTATCATATCTTTGCATTCATGTAGGTAATTTGATTTATGATTGAAACTGAGAAAGATATGAATATGATAGATTTGATCCCAATGGGAATACTGGACAACGCTTAAAGGTGTAAGTGTTTGTAGAAAGTAAAGAGACCGATGCAGATTTGCTCTTGACTTATCCCTTGCCCAAATATTCTACTGGCGCTTCGTGATTCGAAGTGTATACTAATAAATGTGAGGGAGAGGTAAAGGATATATACAATTGTGGTGTACCGCTTGTTTCATGTATGAAAGCTCTACTATCTGAGCGATATAGATCTAGTTGAAGAGTTTCAGAAGATATACAGAAAAGAAAGGAAAATGGTCTAGCCGAGAAGACATATCACAAATAATCGCTTCTGTAGTGAAAAAATTCGCCTCGACCACATCAATATCGATATTTCCGTCCTATTCTGTCCGGTAACATAAATGAATGCAGATGAACTGGGAAATATGATCTATCATCCAGACCGCATGTTTACAGAGGAATTCCCAGCACACGAGTTTATCTAGAATACCTCAACCCGCACCTTTACCTGTCGAATATCGTCCGCAAACCAGAATCCAACCTCGCTCATGGAGTCAACCAGCTCCTCCTCGCGGCGGACAAGTTTCTTGCCATCTTCGTGTTTCATGACTGAACCATCGCCTTGTCCATACTGCTTATCACCACCCTCATCACTGCTATCCCACTCATCGTCTTCAGGTTTCGATTCGTAGAAGGGATCCCATTCGTTCGTTTCCCAGATCAGTTTGAAACGGAGAGGAGTCAGAGAGAAATGGCGGGCCACGATTGCTTTGATGCGGTAGACATCGAAGGACTTGGGGATATCGATGCTGTACTCGGAGCCTACGACTGCCCCAGGTGTCTCTCCACTGGACTTCTTGGACTGGTTTGGTATGTAGAAGTTGAAGGTAATGAGTCGAGCTGCGAGGGAGCGCGGGTGTATTCCGTTTCCAGAGCCCTCTCCGGTGCGTTTTATTGCAACCTCTCCATGTGTATCGCAAAGTTCTCTGTATCGTGGATATGATTGTAAAATGCGTTGCTCTGCACTTTTGGGAGATGCGGCTAACTCTTTCCTGATAAGTGACAAGTAGTATAGCTCTCCGTTATTGCGATCTTGAGGTGTGATTTTGCTGTAGTTGAGGGTCTCAAGCTGAGAGAGACGCGCAAGTGTAAGCATATATGCTTCATCTACCGTCATCGGTTGTTCTGGTAGATTTGTGATACGTGAAGACGCGGGTGGTTGATCGTATAATGGGTTATCCGAGACTCGAAGACTGGTGAGCCCAGGAAAAACTTTAGGAAGTAGATTGATAAAGGTCCACGAGTTTATCTTGTTCAATGAAATATCAAGGGAAGTAAGCATTGGAGAAAACACCACGTCATCCCCACCCGTTGATATTGCTGAGCATTCCGGGCCAATTTTGTCGATATTGTTTCCACGAAGGGATAACTTCTTTAGCCTAGGGAGGGAAGTCAACTGTCGAAGGGCATGAATGGAATCGAATCGATTATATTCTAGTGTAAGCTCTTTGATAGTTTCCGATAGTGGGCACGAAATCGATGTAAATTCATTGCCAGATAGCGACAGAGAGCTTAGAAGGGGGAAGCGATTCGAGACGGCTGCGGCCTGAACGAGGTAGTTAAGTAAACGGCTAGGTTTAAGTTTCTTCAGATCTTACCTCTTTCCATTCCATAAAAGTTTCGTCCAGCGCCAATTCAGTTGCACTGCCAATTGTGACACCATCATCGATTTCATCAATCCGATTTCCGCTTCCAGATACATTAGCAAACTATCTTCCCTGTGAGAACTTTTGGCTTTCAATATGCTCACTTTAGTTTTAGGATTCTTAGATGTTTGAGCTGGTTGCATATATCTGCAATGTCTGTCCATTTTTGAAGAAGATTTCGACTGAGATCCAGTTCGACGATCTTTGGACACGTCCTTCCTATGCTTTGAAGCTCATTTTCATATGTTTCTCTTGTTCCCTCACTAGCCAGGACGCCGTGAAGTCGCATGCAATCAAGGAGAACGATTCGAAGCTCCTGCAATTGGGCAAGTTGTTTACGGATTTTCTCAAATCCGACTTCTTCGACGATTTTGCCGCTGATCTCAATGGGTTTGGACGGCGGCACGTCTACATGGCCGGTGGGCATATGCTTAAGCTCTAAGACATATTTTTCGTTTACAGCTTGTAGAAAGCTTAGAGCTTGGTCAGGCTGTCTCGTGGGACGCACAAAGGAGCCCGCCGTTGGGTGTTTGATTTTGCCTGGAACTACCCGTGAGCGCTCTATTTGTATAAAATTACAGTCTGTAGGCAGCTAAGAAGTTGAGGGGTAGATATCATAACTATAACCGCACCATACATTGGAAATACTTCACTCCGTTATGCTCTCCTGAGTGTTTGCCCCGATTCGGATCATCCCATTCAACACCAAGCCACTGCCCCTTGGTTCCTTTGACTTCGCCGATATAGCGGACTGTGCAAAGGGCGCCATCAAAGGAAAGCCTGGACCCTACTGAGATGCCCATAATACAGTACCTTGTGGAATTCTAAGACAGGGTATAGATTAGAAGCAGTCAGGCAATAAATAAGCAGGGAAAAATAAACGTTTACATACATGCAAACTCTCCACCTGTTACTTTGTTGTATGTTTCTCAAGTTCAAGCCACTTTGTTGAACAACCCGCTTGGGTTTAGGGGATGAGTCACGTGGTAGTTAACTAGTTTAGTTATACTTTTATCGTCATTAATTTGCCATGAATCTTACCATCACTGACAAGTATCGAAACCAAAAGCCCATAATCCCATTTATTAGAGCTCCCATCATGGATTATCAGGTATTTGGCCCAAAGGAAACTCTATTTTTAATTCAGGTATCTTCTAACACTCTCTCAACAGAACCGCGCAGGCTCCAAATTTGGGGGTGGAGGCGTCGCCTCCTATTCCGCCACAAATGCCGACCGCCGCGAACGACTCCGGAAGCTCGCACTCGAAAACATCGACCTGGATAAGGATCCATACTTTTTCAAGAACCACGTCGGCAGTTTCGAGTGTCGCCTTTGTCTAACCGTACACCAAAATGACGGCTCCTACCTTGCCCACACGCAGGGTCGCAAACATCAAACCAACCTCGCGCGCCGCGCCGCTCGCGAACAAAAAGAGGGTAAGGGCCAAGATGGCTCACTTTTACCAGCCTCCATGGGCGTCCAGGTGAAGCGGAACACGGTCAAGATCGGCAGACCCGGATACAAGATTACGAAGACGAGAGACCCGTTCACCAGACAGCATGGGTTACTGTTCCAACTGCAGTATCAGGAGATTACGCCCGGGGTGGTGCCACGGGTACGGTTCATGTCGGCCTTTGAGCAGAAGGTGGACAACCCGCCAGATAAGAATTTTCAGTATTTGCTTGTTGCGGCGGAACCGTATCAGACTTGCGGTTTCAAGTTGCAGGCGAGAGAACTGGATCGGAGTGAGGGAAAGTTTTGGACGTGGTTTGACGAGGATAACAAGGAATTTTGGATACAGATTATGTTTAAGACGGAGAGAGAGGAGCGGTATTCTGGTGTACCTGGTCTTGCCCCCACTCGACGATGAGGACGTTCCAAATGTTTGTTTTCTTCCTTCCTTTTTCCCTCCGGTTTTTAAGGGCATCGCATTTTTTTAAGTGCATTATGATGTATGTCTACATAACATTTCTTTCCTTCACGGAGTTCAAAGGTATATTGCGCGGAGTTTGGACGAAGGGAATTGACTTAAGAAATATCTGTACTAAAATGACAGGAACTGTGGGCTGCTGATACCTCAATATGCGCATGTTTTTATTCTATACACTACTGCATCTCAAGGTTCAGTCATTTATTTGCTCAAGATATGGAGAAATTTATTAAGTTTCGCGAAAGGTTACGTATAGGGGATACGGTGTATGATCTTGAAACCGCGAAGTAGTCAATAATTAAAATGCCATTCTATTCGTTCACTGTCCCTGCATGCGAAACGCATGATCTGTTGGACTGAGATGTAAGTAAAGTAGGCAAATAGTCTTGTTTAAAAAGCCCATCTTGTTCGCAGAACAAATCAACTTCACACATTACATGGAAAACCAGAAACTGTGGAAGAAGCGGCATAGAAGACCTGAAAAAAAAAGGAAAGGTAGTAAAAGTGAAACATACTCGTAAAGGGAATCCCGGATGCCCCTCGTCATTATCCAGTATTTCACGATTTCGGTATCTCCGAAACTTTGCTGGCTTGGGGGCAAAATCAATCATAAAAGTTAAGTAAACAAAATGAAGTGGAAATGGCAAAACACAAGCAGGCAAATAGGTCCTCAGTATTATCCGTTCAGGTTTAGATCAACACTGACAAATGAGAGAATACATAGTATCTAGCTTGCCTGGAATGCATTAAAAGCCTTATATGTATATCCAATAAATGGAAGGCTCATTTCAGCCTCTTGCTCCTCCGGCATGGCACGAGCCTGGGCACGGAGTTGGGCCGAGTTGTCTTCCTGCGGAATCTCATCGATGGGGAAGTAGGACACATCCACATTTGAGGATAGCTTTGGTTCAAAAGGCGCGCGGATTTTGCGTAGCTGGTCCCAGACAACCCCGCGGAAGAACGGATGACCTTTGATTTGTGTGGCCCCGAATTGAGCACCGCCTTCTCTGCCAATGCGGTGTTCTGGGTCACAAAGGAAACTGGGAATAATGTCAGCTGTATCTAACCAAGGAAATTGGAATGCAAATAACATACCTTCTTATAAGGTGTTCTGAGTCATGCGAGAGAGTAAGCTCTTCAGGGAAGTAGAGACACTCGCGCCAATTCACGATTTTCCGGTACGTATCAGTGGGCTCCTCTGCGCAGAATGGGGGCCACCCTACGAGACATTCGAACATAATAGCTCCGACAGACCACCAGTCGCACAGATAGGTGTATCCCTGGCCATTGAATATTTCAGGTGCAATGTAGTCCGGAGTTCCGACGGTCGAATAAGCCATAGCTCTCCGGGATTTTCTCCAGGTATTGATCTGCCCACGATTCGATACAGTCAAGTTGATGGCATCTGAGAAAAAACCAGAATTTCTGTTCTTATCTTTGGATGCTGACGTGTTTTTTAGAAGAGCCTGGTAATAGGAGTTGTCATGTTGCTTTTTCCCGCCAGTGGATAAGCCAAAATCTGTGAGCTTGATGTGACCACCGCGGTCTAGGAGGATGTTGTCAGGTTTTATGTCCCTGTAAACATAAATCAGCATCTGCTCTTCGATTGGAGAAAGAGCTGTGGTCCTGAACCATCAGAAATTTTAGGGGATGGCTTACCGATGGAGGAACCCGAGCTTATGAACCGCTTCAATAGCCATCACTATTTCTGCCATATAGAATCTTGTTATGTCCTCTGAGAAGATTTCGTACTTAATAAGCATAGTCATTAAATCACCACCTGGCAAAAACTCCATAAGTAAGTAGAGATAAGCTTTGTCTTGGAAAGATGCATGTAATTTCACAAGCCATGGACTATCCTTCGAATCGGCAAGGATATCACGTTCAGCTCGGACATGAGCAAGTTGGTCCTTCTTGAACATCTCAGTTTTGACCAAAGATTTCAGGGCATATATCTTGCCGTCAGTCTTTCGCTGAACAAGCTTGACCTCCCCAAAGGCACCCTTGCCAATGATTTTCAGAGTTTGGAAGTTGGCTGGGGTTTCTTTTGTTCTAATGAAGCGAAGGAAGTTTGCCTCCTTTTTGGCGACGGACTCGGCCTCCTGGCGCTTGGTTGCCTCTGAAAGGGATGGGTTTGTCAGAACCTTGTCGAGATTCACAGCACTGTGAAAACAAGTATTATATATGAGCCACAGATTCACTAGACCCATTGTGGGCAGACAATTTGAATTTTTTTCATTCAAACTTACCGAAGATTTCGGTCACGGGCACGCTCAATGTTCTCGCGGAAGAAAACATTGACCAGCTCCTTCGCAGCTCTGCCACGTTTATGCACATTCTCCGAGTACATCTCCACACATCTCACCAATTCTTCCTCTTCCCCGTTAGCGTGACCATTGCGAGTTGGCATTTGTGGAGCAGAATGTCCTTGAGATTGGGATGTTGGTTGAGCACCAGCAGTACGGGGGCGCTGTCCTTGACCAAGATTTCGAACGAACATTCCAGTCCGAGGGGAAGCCCCCAAGTCCTGGTTGGAAAATTGCTGGATCAGACCATTGGTTGCGTCGTTGGTCTGGTACCCAGGACGAGCGTGGTAGGCTACCTGTGGTGACGCTGCGTTTGGATGACCATACTGCTGAGCATGCGGATGGCCCTGAGCCTGGGGATGCTGAGGAACATACGGATTGTTCATGAAGTAACCCTGACCGAAGGCATGCAGGTTGTGGGAATCAACATACTCCTGGGCCCCTTGATACATCGGCTGGGGGAAGGTTGAAGGGGTAGTCGGATAAGCCCTATTGTTTGAGGCGGTGTAGGGGCGGTCATTGTTGAACCCGAAGTTCAAGTGAAGACGGTTGCCATTGCGGTTGCCATTGTTGTTATTGTTATTATGGTTATTTGGCTCCATCTTGATTAGAGACCCAAGAGCTATTGTTCAGAAGGTAAACAGGAAAAAAGGAATTTGTTGCGTTGTCAGCTTGGAACCCATGGAGGGGTGATGTTTTAAGGGGTTCGTTGTCGGACAAACAAATCGTTGGAAAGGCTAAACCTTGATAGGATGCGTGCTAATTTGCCAGCATAACCCCGTCCCCAAAGTCAGTAAATCAATGGGATTATTGAGAGCTGATAAAAATGAAAGGCAAACAGAAAAAGAAAAAGGAGCGACGAGAGATCAATCGATGTGGAGATGAGAAGATGAAACTCGTCGAGACGCGGATTGCCGCCGTTTGCCCCGTTTAAGAAGTTAGCGCGCCAAATGTGATCCTTTGGCGCCTAAACCCTCGTGTTATGTCAGTACCCGCTCAGAGCAACGGCTCTTATTGGACAAATAGACGAGATCACGGGGAACGCTAGCTACTTTCCGGAATAATATACTTCCGGTGACACAGCGCAAGCTTCCAAGCTCGACCCTTTTTTTTATATATGGAAGAAACGAGCGCAACGACAGACATCTGGGTATGTCACAGCGCATGGCGTTGACGTTTGAGTCCGCCGCCAATTCATCCCATTGGGCTTATTATTTATACAAACTACCTGCGGTAAATTTGGCGTTTTCTTTTGGGGCGTTATGGCAGACAAACCCCCATCCTCGACGTCTTCTGCGACGCCGCAAAACGTCGCCCCGAACACTCAGAATCCCGCTCTTCGCATGCTTGGTATGGAATCACTCCCCAGAGTGCATTTTCATGCAACGCTAAGATGACCGAAAATAGGCGTCCCGAAGATTCGATTCAAATTGCCTTCAAGGAATTGGCTCATATTTCTATCTATCACTGGTTCATTTACCACAGCGCTTATTTACGACCGTCGACAGAAAAGAAAAGCACAAGAAAAATGGTCCAATTTGGTTGCTCATATTGCCAAGCAGCCTTTACCGCCGAATGAAACCCGAAGAAAGCTTACAGTATTCCTTGCCGCACCACCGGGCGATGGTCTGATGAGTGCCCGGGAATATTTTAAAGAATACATAAAGCCCATTATCGTTGCCGGCGCCTTGGACTATGAAGTGGTGGAAGGTCGAAAAGAAGGAGATATCCGAGCCACTTTTGCCAACAGAATTAGGAAAGCAAGACGACAAGCAGGAGAAGGACAACCCATCGAGGAAGATGAGGCTGAGAACTTTCTTCAGCAGATTCGACAAAATTTCGGTATTGAGGACGAACCTGGAATCCAAGGCGATATGGTAATTGGCAGACATACATGGAAGGAATATATCCGTGGCCTTCACGAAGGGTGGTTAGGACCGATTGACGAGCCCCATCCTGAACCAGAAACCATCCCCGGCCCAGAAGGAGCAGCTGCAGAGGTCGCAACCCAGCAGCTGGCAGGCGACTATGTTACTCCTGCAGCTCTATCAGCGCCACAGGAGAATAAAAAAGCCGAATCCGCGCCAGAAAAGAAGCCAGAGGAGGAGAAGACAGACGTGAAGAAACTTCCCCGCCCCACTCCGGCCTACATCCTCCCCTCTTCTTACCCCTCTCAACGACTCGCGCCTTCAACCCCACAAGAAATCGACGTATCCCCTGTCAGGTTTCCACATATCCTAGGATTCTTCAACACTCCGATCCGCATCTACCGCTTCCTCAACCAGCGATATCTTGCAGATGCCGTGGGACGAGACGTGGCCGCCATCGTCCTCGCAGCATCAACCCGGCCCTACACAGAAAATAGCAACATCCCAGACTCTGAATTCAGAACTCCTACAGATGCTAGTGATGACGCATCTCCCACATCACTATCATCATCATCGTCATCATCATCATCATCATCATCATCATTATCCCCCTCTTCTCAAATCCCATCGAACCACTACGAACAACAATCCGACCTCGAAACAGAGGAGCAGGAATGGCCTAAATCCGTGCGCAAGCAAAAAGAAGACCCAGACATCAAGGAACGGGAATGGCTTGACGATATAGTCATGGATCCACGCATTGCATTGCGCATGCACAGATTTGACCTTCCCCCAGAAGAGGAAGAGAGAGCGCAGCGGATCGCCGAAGGCACGGACTGGATTCGTGGCGAGGAAAAGCCGGCGCACGTCCCGTTTTGGAAACGGATGTGGAATACGTATGGATTGGGTGAGCAGGATGACGGGAGGCCGAAGGTTGTTATTGGGAATTTGGATGAGTGAGAAAATTGCTAGGTGGTTTGTTGTGGTGGCATATAACCCGGAAACGTTTTTTACTGAGCATTTGCATTATCTATCCACGTACATGTTATATATATATATATATATAGACATATACTCATAATTTTAGCGATATTTGTACAATATTTTCTATAGTAATGCCATATTCCTCCATAGACCGGGGGGGTCTGTTGATTGCTAGATGGTAGTTATTGATCATTAATGAGATGACATGGATAAATAAATGATTTATCAGTATCTCTTTTTGGCCCAGCTAATATGGACGCCTACATAATACAGTATTGAATAATTTAGGTAAAAATTAGCCATTACGTGGACTGATTTCACATAGGTAGTTACATAGATCCCGCCATTTGAATAAAAGTCCCCATCATGAGTCAATAACCTCGTTCTTGACGATGTTCACAACCTTGGGAACTTCTCTCGTTTCTCCTACCATTCCAAACCACTCTTAATTCTAGAACTCAATGAAAGCTCTCCTCGCTGGCATGTAGGCTTACTTATCCATTCCTCTCATTCCATCCATTCCAACACATCCATCGGCTCTGAAATAAGAGTGCTGAGAACACAAAGAAATGTTTAAAGTGAGAGGAACACCAATAAATTAACTTTCCCTTTTTGCCATTCCAATACACCAAGTAATCCACCGGCTCATACGAAGAACAAAATGCAAAATGTAAAATGCGCAAAAAAATACAAAAACAAAAGAAGAAAAGAAAAGTGTAGAGCCGAAGAGGAGTTTCTAAAAATCGTGGCATAGGAAAAATGATGCAACTAGGAAGGGCGGCAAAACAATAGAAAGAGAAATAGAAATAGTAATCTACTTTCTTTTCTGAGATCATATATAAACAATGCATATAAACTTGGTGCCAAAATGAGACGTCGTACATTCTTCGTTTCTGTCACCTTTTATTGAATTTGTGTTGGCTGAAAAGCCGATGCTTCAGTCCATCTCTTCTGAGCTTGACTAATATAGGCTGCTTTTGCTTCTTGGCTGCTGTGCCAGTCATCTAAGAGATGGAGACCCGCAATGGCATCCTCCAGAGATGCGGTTTCAAGGTCAACAGTGGAGATAAGCTCCTTCTCGCATTGGGGTTTTGAGTCGGGCGCGAGCAACTGTCGGACCGACAGAGCAGCTTGAACATGCACAGCGCTAGATTTATGCTGGGAGAGGAATGATTCGTTCCAGTTTGTTAAATCTTGGGATTTTGGGAGCAAGGGGTCGAAATCCGCAGCGATGACCTCGGATACATTGGGGGGAAGGGGTTCGGAAAGAGTGTCGATTGCTTTTCGGAAACGAGCTATTTGGGTGTGAAGAGCGGGATTTTCAGAGTCGATAGAATGGGAGGCAAGAAGACATTTCAGGGCAAGAAGATATTTATCTGTGTTGTTGAAGTTAGCATCGATAGGAGACCGTTGAAAAGAAGGTTGAAAATAAGGAGCCATAGGTACTGACTACGCCTAATGAAGACTTCAAAGCCAGTTGTCTGCACATCCATATTGCCAGGGGAACATTCCAATAGGGGAGATAAGAATTTCATGGCATTCTTTAATGGCTCAGAGGTCTGAACAAGCTTTGTTCCCAAGGGGTCAGAGTCCTCCTTTCCAGTTTCCCCGTCGCCTCCCTTAGTGCTGCTGGCCTTTTTTAGATCCCGTTTTGCTGCTTCCGCCTTCTCAAGCCTCAGTTGCTCTCGTTTGGCTTTCTTGAGAGCTTTCTTTCGCTCTGCACTGTCTGCCTCTCCCTCCGCGGTGCCATTCACTCTGCTGGGGATTGGACCGTGGACCAGATCTGGCTGATCATGTATTAATATGTACGTCTTGACGGCGGCGAGAGCGCTTCTGGTGTAATATGGGTGATCGCGCAAGTGGTTTTCCCATCGGATCATATCGATATACGCTCGAATCATTCCCTTCCGCAGAGAGAAACTATGGAAATCGAATTGGTCCTCATACCAGACATCGAATATATTGTTCACCGCATGGAATCGTTTCAGAGCAAGTCCAAGTTTCCTTTGACGAAGGTAGGATTCTCCGTCTTCGGTTAGATACCATACACATTGCATCTCATGGAGGTCACCAAGGGGTCCGCCAACGGTTTCGTTGCGTGTAAATTTACTCATATTGTCAAGGGCTTTTTCGTTTTCATCATTTCTGAGCTGATACTTTGCTGCTTTAGAGTTAATATACCGATCCTTTTCATCTAACGACCTTGCCTTTTCCATGACTTCGGCCGCTTTCGGGATGTTGCCGTAGTGTTTCCATATTCTGGCCTTTGTCATATGATAATCCACAGAATTTGGAGATAGCGCGATTGCTTTATCTATATACTCCGTCGCCTTTTCAAGATTCCGGCTAAGATGATAATTGTAATGTTGGGCAAGAAAGTAGTAAACTGAACTCTCGAACATGGATGAATTACCGTTCATTTGTTTCTCTGATGAACCATTGGCTTGTGATCCGAGATGCCCTTGGGCATATCCCTCAGCGAGTTCCTGGACAGTGTCCCGTTTAGCTGTGTTTGTGTATAAGAACTTAATATTCGCAAAAGTAGAAGGGATCCCCCTGCAGAGCATCCGTTGAAGATAGCTGTCTGCCGCCTCCCTGAAATCCTGGCCTTCCAAAATATCTAGCGGAATTCGGCGAGCTGCATCTCCCCTCGGATATTTCTTGACCCATTCATCGAATAGGGCTTTTAGGGTTTCACGGTCACTCTCGACGATCCCCTTTGCCTTAATCAATGCATCGTAGTAATTTGAGTTTTCCGGGTTTCTTTCCAGAAGAGCCTCATAAGCAGCCGCTGCCTCGTCTTTCCGACCAAGACGCAGCAAATAGTCTGCTCTCATCTCCATCACAGCAAGAACATCAAAACAGCCTTTCCCCACTGCATCAAGATGTTCCAGTGCCTTCTCCAGATTGCCTGACTCTGCAATTATCGAGTTTTTGTAGAGAACCGCCTCTGAATGCTCCATATCAGATCTGGGAGGCGGGGTTTTAAGTGTCTGCTCGTAAGTCGTCAGAACATTCTCAGCCTCTGTCAAATTACCTGCAAGATGATGAGCAATGGCCAGTGCTGTCCAATTTTGACGGAAACCAGGCTTTTGTTGTAGCATCGTGGTTCTGCTCTGAATATAACCTTGGTAATCGCGCATTTGTGCTTGGAGAAGAGCTAAATCCCGCTGTATTGCTTGCGACGTCGAATCATACTTCAAGGCGGTTTTATAGGCTTTGATGGCTTCGTCATAGTTTTTGTCTGCGCGATATAATAAACCGTAGACATGCCAACATATGTGGGATCTTAAGTGGTTCGCAATCGCCACCTTTGCCAGTGCAAACGCTTCCTCTTGGTGTCCCTGATTACTGAGTATCAACGCTTTCATAGCCTGTGTCTCTCCGTGCTTGGGGTTTTTTCTGAGCACATGGTCGGCAATCTTTAAACCTATTCCCAAGATAAATCAGCGAGCTGCGCGGAGACAAAAACTGGTCACGAGGAGTTAGCAATGCACCTTTTTTGTACTGTTTGCTCTCACAGTGCCGAACTACTTGATGGAACAGCGACTGATCCTTGGGATTCAGCGAGGGGGGTTCATTCATGACCATAGCTTCAAGCGGGACAGCTTCAAACCGTCCACACAGCGACGCGGGAACAGAGTAAGTTGTCGATGGCGCAAAAAGCGTATCCGGAGGGAGCGGTGATAATGAGTGTCGAAGATATTCAATTGGTATGAATACCGTCTACAAGAAGAGGAGGGTTGGCACTGGAGGTGGAGGTAAACAGTATCGTGAACTCCGAAGTCCGTATTCTTCGAAAATGCTTTTGGGCTCAAACGGTGTGAATGCTTGAAAAACATTTATCCTTAAAGCAACCACAAGTCATGTGAGCAAGAAACCTCTCGCCTTGGAAAGTTAATTTTGCCGAGCATGAATCAAGTCTCAATTTCTTTTGGAACTTCATCTCTCTCTCTCTTTTTTATTTTTAGTTTATTTCATTTATTATTTATTATTATTTGAATAACTAACTAGTTATCGCACGGCTATCTTATCGATTTCGTAGTTTGTGAGTTTTGAATTTCGTTATCCCGAATTGTGTCTGCCGACTGATCAACAGTGGAGCGGGCTGTCAATCAAGCCCTGCAACTCGGGGTTCCTATTTTGTCTTGGCTCAGCTGTCCAAGAGGCTGGTGTCCGGCTACTTATATTACAGAACCCATTGAACTCTGAGAGCCACTCTGTGGCATTTCCCTAATTTTAAGATATGGCCAAGAGGTGGAAATCCTCGTAGCTCGTCACTGTCAGCCTATTGGTAACCAAATCATCTCATGCTCTCAGTGATTCTCTGATGTGACTGACTGGCTGTGGTGATACTTCATCGATATTGGGTTTGCTCTCAGATAAAAGGACTCGTTTTGATGGATAACATTCCCCGAGACTCTCGGTACTCTTAAACACATGAGCTCTTCACTCTCATCAACCTCCAGTTGACTCCAGGCCCCCACACTCCTTTCATATCTAGCTCACCAAGACTGTCTCCCTTGAGGCGAAATATCTGCCAGCCGGGTACAAAATCACATGGAAGAAAAACTGGAAAGGTGGGGTTTGGATATTGTACGAGTCTTCATTCTCTAACCAATGCTACTAAATAGCTGCCCGCCTGATATAAGAGCTCTCTTATCCAGTCGTCGAAATAGCAAATATTTTTCACCATATGTTGTCGTTGAGAGCAAGAAGACTCTTGAAGGCAAGCAAGGTTCCCAGGTGAGTGATGGATTGCACAGTGAACTTCAAAAATATACTAGTAATGAAATAGCTGAAAAGTGTGTCACAAAGAATTCAGTGTTAAGACCGTGCTGAAGGAAGCCCATTGATCCATGTGATGACCGAATGGCAAGTTTGATTGAATGCAAAAGGTTGCCTACCACGAGAACAACTATATATAATATGGTGGAGAACAGTCACGTGCTGAAGGGTCTGACGAGTGAGTATACTCATGAGTAGATAATAGATCTCTTCTTCTGTTCTTTTTTACATAAATATTGCGAGACATGGTTGCACAATCTGGAGGATCGTTGAAGTCAATTTTCCATGAGTCTTCATGTAACTGATGTTCAGTTTCATATGTAGTTACATGAATTGTGCTTCATTTTCATGATCTGATATTGTTTTAAGGCAATGCTCAACTGTCTTAGCACAGATCTTCAACAACAGAGGGAAGATCATATTCAAGATGTTTGTAATTATTCTTCTGAACAACCATAACTTGGACATGAAGATTGCAGAGAGTTGATGCTAGCTAGATTTGCTCTAATAATACTTAATTGGGTGATCATCTCAACCGTATTCCGGGGCTCCACGTTCAACCCAAAGATTCGCCTTCGGATCAATCAACTTCGATAATTGATAAATTGCTTGGTATAACTACTTGGATACTGGCCAGTTCAAGCTAATAATGGAATAACACACATGGAACAATATCCAATGTTTATTGTTTGTAAGACCACAGATAGCTAGTTAGTGGCTAGGGTTTACGTTGAAACGTGATGTTTAAAGTTGAACGATGGTAACTAAAGCTTGTTAACGACGCTGCCTAATTTAGGCCCACCTTTTTTTAAAACACATCATAACTATAATTAGTTAACTTAACTACCAACCACACTTTTGACTACTACTTATCTATTCAACCCCCTCCACACTAGTTTTAGGGGTAGTTAGGATCGGCGTAAGGGGCTAAGGAACATGATAAGTCACTACCATCAGAGCATCAGAGCATGGAGAGATGTATGTGAGATGCGTGTTGAGATATGACTATTAGTCCAGGTAGTTTTGATGAGTGGGGGGTCTTGGTCTGGATGGTTAAATCACGCCGAAGGTTTTTCCGGCCGAGTCACGTTCAACTGTTGAGCCCAGATAGATATTCGAGCTAGGGGGAGGGAGCGTGGAGAGTAGGAGTATCTTCTGTAGCCCAACCCTCTCGCCTTGGAGCAGGCTGCTATAACAGCTTACCCGCTTTATAATTTCTTTTTGTGTGGACAGCTGTCGCTCTCTGTGTGGATTTTGCAAAGGTTCTCGAATGGCCGTAGGGTGGGGGTCGTTATCACCTGCAGGCTTCTTCATTCATTAACCAGACTTTATGATAAGTTGATTAATTGAGAATTTTGAATCGAAGACAGACAGGTTTACACGTGCAATTTCCCTGAACAACTAAAATATACTACTATAGCTAACTATTGAGATAGTTACCAAGATATGAACCCGGCGCGGGGAGGCTCGACATTCCGAAATTGTTAAACTTGCTCGCCCACCATGGTTGCAGAATATCTTACCATCCGGAACCTAACGTCGACACCAGTTGTATTGGAGCAAATTGTGCGCTTCTCTTCTCAGAAAGTCCCAAAGTACGATATAAAAGGGGTAGCAAAGGCTTTGAAAAAAAATGTGACCAGATCTTAGTCAGCCGCTGAGTGTGCATCCCAAAACGTGGAGTATTCCGACCGCCAGGACGTCTCCATTTGTATAGAGCCGTTTGAATCGGTGGAAACAGGCATTCGTGCTTTTGACAAGTCAGATAAGGAACGACTGCAACTGATATTCGACGTAGAGGGTGAGAAGCACCAGTTTCAAACCTCTGTACCCAGCAAGGACTATGAAACATCGAAGCCATTGGCCGATAACCTCCGTTTCCAATTCACTGGCATTTATGTTAGGCCCGAATCTTATTTTGCCATATATTCCTCCGCAAACCCCAATGCATGGATGCGTGAGCTGAAAGACGAAACATACATCTCTGCCCTTTCTATCCCCGGAACTCACAATTCACCGGCATGTCATCTAGCCGCACCCTCGGTTCGCTGCCAGGCTGTCAGCCCACGAAAGCAATTGGAAAACGGCGTCCGGTTTTTCGATGTTAGAGTACAACCGCAATTTCCCGATGATCCGGATAAGGATAACCTGATTCTTGTCCACGGTGCATTCCCCATCTCACTTGCAGGACATAAATACTTCCGCGATCTCACAATAGAGATTGAATCATTCCTCGATTGCAATCCTTCTGAAACTCTCATCGTGTCTCTCAAGCGCGAAGGGCCTGGAAGCCATACTGATGCCCAACTTAGCCGAATTCTCCGTGACCACTACGCTCGAGACGGAAGCCCGTGGTACACGGAGCCTAGAATCCCCAGTTTAGGAGAAGTGCGAGGTAAAATCGTGCTGATCCGGCGCTTTGAACTTGAGGAGCGATTGACGAGAGAATGGGATGGACGGGGCTGGGGCATCAATGGCGAAGGCTGGGAGGACAATACGCCATTCGCGATTTGTCCCAGTGGAGACATCTGCGTCCAAGACTTCTACGCAGTTCTTGAGAAAGAAAAAATTCAGCAGAAAATTGACTATATTAATGCTCATTTGAGGAGGACGGCTGAACTGTGTTATCCATTTGGGGTCATTGGGAAAGACGGAGCGAATGATGGCGATGAGAATCGGAAGTTCCCCTTTTATATAAACTTCCTTAGTGCGAGCAATTTTTGGAATTTACAGACTTGGCCTGAGAAAATTGCTGCGAGTATCAATCCTGCCACGGTGGATTACCTATGCCGAAGACATCGTGGGGAGAAGGGGGATTGGTCTACCGGTATTACGGTGTGTGATTGGGTTGGATTGGATGGGGACTGGGATCTGGTCAGGTGTATTGTCGGAATGAACACCAGGCTCATGATGAGGCAAAGATAAGTAGGACCAGCGAAAAGAACTTGGAAATCTTCACGCGTAGGTCTTATCCTTATCCCCATGCTCTGTCAGTGCATATCTGCTAAGCTTTGGAATAGGTGCCCGCTCATTGATCGATGATATGATGCCAATATTGGATAATATATATGATGCATATTGTACAGTCGATAAAGGAAAACAAAAATTAGCATGCATCAAGGCCAATGGTAGAAAAAACTAGAATCTTAACCAATAGAATGGAAATATAAGGAGAGCAGAAATGGAAGGACAGGTATTCATCATCTATTCCTTCGGAGCGTCTGTCTTGGTTTCACTGTCTCTCGTAGCGTCACTCTCGGGCCCCTTCTGCTCCCCTTCCAAAACGCTTCTCCGACTCTCAAGAGTGAGATATAGACTCTTACTCGCAGCATCCAAAGTTGTAGTAATGCTTGCTCCTGCCCCTTGCAAGAGTGATAAGAGCTGAGATCGCAAGCCAGCCATGCCACCCTCAATTCCTCCAACCCGTCTCATCTGATCCTGATCAAACACCTTCCCTTCCACTCTCGCTGCCAACAGGATCAATTTATTCAATCCCATTTGGACAGGTGAATCGTATAGACTCGGGTTCGCTCTACGAGTTGGTGCAGGGAATTGTGGTGGTTTGGGTGATAGGATTGTCAAGGCTGCCTTCAAGTGCTCAGGTGAAACCTGGGGGAAACTAAGCACGGCAATTGGGCCCACTAATATGCCAGAGAGATCGTGTTTGCCCTTCTTGTCAAGAACGGCGGCGTAGGCAGTGCTGGAGAGATCGTGGGTAAACCTGGGGTCAGCCTTCGCAGCTGCGATCTTGCCTCGGCCACTAGGAACCGTTTCACCGGGCCGGAAGAAGTCCACAACACGCAAAGCAGCTTCGAAAATGTTAGTTTGAATAATTTTTAGCTGCACGAGGGGAGCTATGGGCGGTTCTGGTCTCCCCGCAGCGGCGTGTGCTTCGTCGACTTTTTGCAGTGCTCTAGAAAGTTCGCGGCGGATCCCAGCCCATTCTACTGCCTGCAAGTTGTTATGCTGGAAGATCAGGACTAACGGAGATGTGCGGAGGAGGGAGGTGTATTGGCGGTGGAGCTGTGATTTGCGGAACTCAGGGCGACGGTGTGACGGGGGTTGCAATGATGGGTAGGTAGCAGCAGCAGCAGCAGCAGGAGAAGGAGGTTGTGAGGAAGCGAATTTCGATTGGGATACTTGGTCTATTGAGGATGTTGTCGCTGCTGTTGCTGCAGTACCAGCATGCCGCCGCGAATATGCGAGGACTTCATGTCGCAGGGCTGGTGGTAGGAGACAAACGGAGAGGCGCAATCGTGGAGGCATTGGAAAGTGAAATTGACAATCAAAGAAGCGAATGAAGTAAAACACAGTATATCGTCCACTGGCGGCTCAATTGCCATGAATTGCGAAGTTGGAGCCCGACAATACGTCAATGTCGTCTCATTGTCTGTTGGTAAATAATTTTTTTGGTCTCTCAAAGTATTTTGTCATTGTCCGAAGGCGGTAAGAGTTCTGCCAATTTTTTTGCACCATCTGACTGTTTTGTCCAACGATGAGGGGCATCTGTAATAAAATATACCCATTGGACCCCTCAGCGCAGCTGTCATTGCGTTGATCTATCGGAAGTTATTTAGTAATGAGATTATCTTTGATTTCCGGTTGAAAAATTTCCGTCTATAACTGGGAACCAGCATATCCGCAAAAAATGACGCACTCCGACCTGGTGATTTCAATAACACCACTCCTTACACGGCTTGCTTACCCAGATACAGGCGGAACTGGTGTTTCTGCGGGAGAAATTGCGGGTGCTTTCTCTCTTATATTCGAGGATAGATTATCTCTCATACAGACAGCGGCTCTCCTAACACTCCTACACTCCACAGGCAAGGACAGGGACCCCGATGTGCTTGTGCAATGCGCAATGCGTATGAGAGAAGCTGCTGAGCCAATTGAGCAGACAGCACTACGCGCATTGGTTAAGGGACGAGCTAGAAATGAGGGCTCTTACAGAGGAGGTTTTGTATGTGGAGAAATATTGTCATTCGTAACTTTTTTTTTTTTTTTTTTTTTTAATAAAACTAAAAACTAATATAATGCGACAGTGTGACATTGTTGGAACAGGAGGGGATTCGCATCGCACATTCAATATCTCCACAACATCTTCCATCATTGTATCTCCGCTGCTCATAGTAGCGAAGCATGGAAATCGGGCACAAACGTCATTTTCAGGTTCCGCAGACGTCTTGACTTCTATAACTCCGACTCCACCAAACATATCCAATGTCCGACCCGATAACATCCTGAGAGTATACGAACAGGGGAATTACTGTTTCCTCTTCGCGCCAAACTTCCACACAGGCATGAGGTTTGCCACTCCGGTTCGAAAAGGGTTGGGTATACGGACAATATTCAATCTCCTCGGGCCCCTAGCAAACCCAATCGAATGGGGTATTGAAGCTCGCGTGGTTGGTGTCGCATACCAGTCCCTGGGTCCCATATTCGCAAACGTTCTGAGGCTCGGTGGAGCTAAGAAGGCGATGGTTATATGCGGAGAAGAAGATTTGGATGAAATCAGTTGTGCTGGAAAGACCAACTGCTGGAGACTGTCCGAGCATCCCAACCCTGATTACCACGGTAACCACTCAGATGGGAATCAGGAGGACAGTGAGACAAGTGATGAGGAAGCGCCACCCCGAAAAGTGATAAAGATAGAATCTTTCCAGCTTCAACCTTCCGATTTCGGACTTTCAGTGCACCCTCTTTCAGAGGTTGGTGGGGGTAAGATGCCTGCCGAAAACGCGATGCTTTTGATGAAGATGCTCCGAAACGAGCTTCCTCGCGATCATCCGGTATTGGAATTTGTTCTCATGAATGCTGCAGCTATGTTGGTCATATCTGGCATCTGTGATGCCGATACAAGCAATATGGGACCAGGCGACGACGGGGAAGTGATTAAAGAGGTTGGCCCAGGCGGCGGACGCTGGAAGGAAGGCATTCGAAGAGCACGATGGGCAATCGAGAGCGGGGAAGCACTTAATAGCTTGGAAAAGTTTATTCAAGTAACCAACTCTTCGTAGTAATTGGAAATTGGAAATTAAGTAAGAAACGAATGTAATTCTCGGGAATTCGAAGAGGTTGGGATTAATGAGGCATTAAAACCGACGAATATCATGCCCCGAATGAACTTCAACCGCCAATGCAACGTGAAACAAATTTTAAAGACAGGTCTTCGCCAGTTCGCTCTCCTCTCATTCCCAACGCTGTAACCGGATTCTCGATTAAATCATGATAATAATGTATACACCCCTCCCTAGCGCCATGCAGGAGCTGTAAAAAGCAGAAAACAGCTGACAACAAAAGTAACACCAGGTAAAGAGCACATCCTTCCCATCATAAAGAGACCTCCGACATCAACGGTAGTAACCATAAGATCGTCGGAAAGGTTGTCATCGGGCCTGAAATTGTACCATTCTGTAAACGAGAAAAATGACGACCGTTAGCTGCCTTCATATTCCCAAGACATAGAACGCACTGGGAGTACTTGAAAAGAACACTGAGTTTTTTTTTTTTTTTTTTTTTTTTTTTTTTTTTTTTTTTTGGGGGGGGGGGGGGGGGGGGCCGCAGGGGGAATAAAACGAACCTCTTCGTCCTTTCTTTGTACAGCACACGATGTCCACATTCCTTGCAGCGGATCTGATCTCCTCGCTTCATGGAAACGCGCGAGTTGCAGTCGCCGCAAACATAGACGACGGATATGGCATCGCTTGCGGCTCCTTCGACGACACCTGATACACCGGCGTATCCTGTCTGGGCCGTAGGGACTTGATAGGCTTCGCGAGACATGGTTGGATGTGAAGAGGGGCGATGTGAGTGTATGGGTTGCGAAGGTTGAGACTGTTATGTTGTTACGTTGTAACGTTGTATAAAAGTAGTTTCTAGAGCAAAAGTTCAGAGCTGGGAGAAATAACTTGGGAAAAGGTCACATGATTTGGTTTGGGCTGATCGGCGGCAAAACATCACCAAGGCAAAATAATACATGTATGACTATATGTTCATCAGCACCCACAACCACAAGAAGAGGCTCCTGTTATACCGCCCAGCGTCCAAGGTTGTTAATCAATTATGCTCGCTTACTGTCATTGGAGCTGTTGGTATGGGAGCCATCTATAGCCAAGAATGGCTGGTTGATTCTTCCCGCTGTTGGGTGCAACGACACTCAGATCAACTGCAGCGCTGCTCAACTTCAACTCTTTGCAAGGACATGAGCGAATGCCAGCTCTACACCCGCTGGGATCTTGTTATGACCAGCGGGCTGCCGTGGACTATGATGCATTTGTCCTTGTCTTCAACTTGCTTCTTGAGGCTACGTCCTCTGAGCCCCTTTCCAGGGCATTTCTCCTTCCTCAGGGCATTTGGAATTGGCAAATCGAATGAGCCTGCCACGGCATGCCAGACTTGCTACTCTCTTTCCTTGAGATTTTGGCGTCGTGTTTGTTATTGTGGCGTATTTATCTGTCCGCAACTTTCTTGTGAAGTTTTATATCTTTATACATTGTTGAGATAACATGCCGTGCTGCTCAACCAGAGAAGTCCAAACTTATTATCTCAATATTATTCCGTGTTTATTGAATATCAGCCCCCTTCTTTATTCTGGTTTGATTTTTCTGTGTTCGTGCGGACAATCCATTGCAAGTTTGAATCAAGATTTTCTGTTCAGTTCCCATTACCACAAAGCACTCTCTTATTCCCAAAGTGAACCTATTATCCATAATGTCTTCTCGGATACCTGTCTTTCCCTCAGTGACAGATACCCATCGGCTCGTTGATCATGACCGGGCAGATTCGCACGATGGACCGCTACATTGGCGTAGGCCGGCAGGACGTTACAATCATCCGCAACGGTATTATCGGCAGCACAACTTTCGAAGGTTCCCAAAGCCTTCCGAACGGAAGTACAAAGCTCTCTATCCAGCAAGTCACTTACCCTACTGGGATTATTTAAACGGAGGGAGGCGTGGATTTCCCCGTTACCCCAGTTCTGCCGGTAGTGGTGACCAAGGTAACTTTGCGTCCTGCGAGCCATACCCTCCTCACGAGGGACTTCTAGTCCAACCTACCACAATACCACAAATGATTACGCCAAACACCAGAGAAAAAGCCTTCTCTGAAATTGTTAATGGCACTTTTGATTTTGAGAAGTCTCCTTTTTCGCTGGGGAAGACGTTGGCTTCGTCTGCCACAATTTCTGACGAATCTCGGTTGCTTAACGGTCTGCCTAACCCCTTTGGCTTAGACACGACCAGCAGTAAAAGCGGATCGTCATCTTCAATGGTTGACCAATCCAAGAAGCAAGCTGCGCCGTCTGAGAATTTACAACAAGGAAATAGTGTTAACAATGCCCGTATTATGTCAACTGCTGGACAATATGCTGCAATTGAGAAACCTTACAACTTGCTGCAAGATCAAAGCCAAACTGATTCATATACCGTTGGGTTCGGTTCAGCTCCAAACACAAATTCGACTGAGACGGAGGAGTTTCACCAATTGCTGCAAATGATTGAATTGCACACCCAGCAGTCGCAGGATTTGGCAGATTTAGTCTCGACTTACCTTTCCCGAGGTGGAAGTTACGGAGATATTAGGTCAGTAGCTGGCGTTATTCATAAATTCTACAACAAGCCACCCCGTCGCTTGAATCAGAATCCAGAAGGGATACTTCAAGTTGCATCCCTTCCAGGTGGTGGCGACAGCCCAGACCCACCTCGTGACCACCGAATTCCATTCCGGGGACATATGATAGACCGTGTGGATACAGGTCAGCCAGCAGTTAATAAGGACGAGAACAAGAATGGCGATGAAAGCACCACGACGGCATGTGAGAACCTTGGCCAGCATTGGGGATCTGCTTTGTATGGTGACAGTGAAGGTTAGTTAGCATGCAAATGACGTCTTGCAAAGAGAGATTTACTAACGCTTGATGGCAATGATTAGGTCCAAACGGCATCAATACACAGGGTAATTCGGCCACGACGAACCGCGGAACTACTAACAGTGCCTACTTTACCATGCCAGTATATGGACTTCCAGAGGACCCGGCCTTGAGTTCTGCCGAATTTGGAGGCCTATACCCTAACTCACTTCCAACGGAGACTTCAAACAAAGCAGCTTCTAAAAAACGGTCAAGGCAAGATGCGGACGATCGGTATCAGAATAAGACAGAGTGTTCCGTTGACTGTTGCCATCATCATATCGACGAATCCAAGAGTTCCGCAAAGAACCAGTGTCATTCTCAGTGTCAGGGCGAGCGGTCAAAGCGGCCTAAACTCAATAATCTCACAGGACCACCAACCCGCCCATCGTGCCCATCCTGTAAAGGTCCCCAATCACTAGTCTCTTCCCAATCCTCTCAAAGTGGTTATTCACACTCCACTAGACCGCTCTTTGGAGCGTCGAAATCTGCACATGTTTCTGCAGCCTCGGCCAACCCCGGACATCCATCATTTTATAAGAAGGGTCAGAAATTAAGCTCAGTGGCACCAAAATATACCCATCACACCTGCGGTTGTCGACCTCGTTGTTTGTGTAGACCTGTTTGTCGCTGCGGACAGGATACAAGCGTCCTTAAGAATGGAGACAATACTGCCAATTCGGTACAACCACAGCTCAGGTCTTTTTATGAGAAGGATCAGAAATTAAGCTCAGTGGCACCAAAATATACCCATCACACCTGCAGTTGTCGACCTCGTTGTTTATGTAGACCTGTTTGTCGCTGCGGACAGGATGCAAGTGTCCTTATGGATGGAGACCATGCCGCCAATTCGCCGCAGCCATAGCTTAGGGACCGACTTTCTAGAATATAAACGCAGTTGACAAAAATACTTCCATTCTTCTCTGGACTCAAGCGACAAATCATGCTTTTCGTCGTGATGTACCTCACTTTTCATGATTCTCGCAATGCGGTGGATGCGATTCGATTCCAACCCGAGGGTAAACAATGCTAGTTGCAAGACTCTCGATTTTCATTCACAGATTGATATCTCAAGAGTTCTATTTTAACTCGCGGTCTTTTTTCATTACCAACGTTCATTTTGGCTAGAGTGACACTTCGGGTTGTTTTGGTGGGTTTTGTGCTTCCATTTTTTGCACGGGTTCTGTTTCATTGTAGATTGAAATCCTTCCCTCGCTTTCAACGTTCATTTGGCTTCACTATTTGTAAATCCCCAACCCCTTAGGATTAATTATGCCTCTTGGTCCGCAACGACAGTCAAAATGTTGCACTTCACTCGTTCATTTTTGATGCATTAGAAATATCAAATTGAAGTTCTATTATTCATCGGTGTAAAATACCACTACAAAACCAGGAGCAGCTGAAGTTTGTCGTTTTCTTTATTATTTCTTCCTTTGATCCCAAGTTCAGAAACACCTCACATACTTCCATTAGAAGCCTTCACAATCGCAAGCTTTGTCCTCAAACCTTAAATGACTGATTATTTTTACAGTTGCTGCGACAGAATACATATCTGATTAATATTTCCATAAAGCAATATAGATCTGAAGATCTCGACTCATCCCATTCAATAGGAGAGATTTACCAACTGCATAATAGCAGTAATAAATATAGATATGCCATGTTCCCTCCGTATACGCTGGTTCTTCATGACCAGAAGAAGCTGTGCCAAACTGAAATGCCATAAATCCAATATATATCTCCACCCAAACCATGAGACGAGCATCTGCCTGTTCCAGTGTATGTATGTACAAAGGCAATCGTGTGGATACGCGCCTACCAACCCCCACCGATCTTGCCAGCAAGTTCCGCAACACGGGCCGTGTCTCCCACCCTCGTTGTATCCTTACCCTTATTCTTGCCCACGTCGCTCTCAACTTTTCTGAATGTGGTATAAACTAGGTTCTCAAGGGGAATGTTGGTACTCTTGGACCAATGGGAAAGAATAGCATCGACATCTCCATGACCGCTATCACCGTTGAGCAGGGTGGTAGTATGATGATCCGCTTCGGAGTCCGAGTCGGAATCGGAATTGGAATCGGCTGAAAAATATGCTTCGTCGACCCGTGCTAGCCAGGCTCGTTGTTCGTGTGGGGTTGGCTTTGAAGTAGATTGCTGTAACTGCGCAGGGTCGACGGATGCTTGTATGGATGGCTGCTCCTCTAACTTTGGTGGATTTATTTCCCGCGCATCCTCGACGCGGATTTGACCGCCCCCATTCGTGCATCCACCTGGGCAAGCCATCACTTCGATATAAGAGTAATCTGTGACTGATGCGTTGCCAGCTGCAGATCCAGCCCCGGCTGCCTTTCGAGCTATTATAGGCTTAGCGCCGGGTAGCCGCGACGTTCGCGGGGGCTTTAGTTTTCGGACTAAATTTTGGATATTCCGAAAGCCATAGTAGCGGGCAGCTTTTATAATTGTGTCGCCTGAGTTGGAGGTTAGGGCGTATTCGATCACATCAGAATTTCGACCACGTTGTGTTTGGATATGGCTTCCTGGATTGCGGCGTTGGTAGGTCGTGAGAATGTGGTAGAGGTAGCCGCCTGACGGACCCGCGGCCGGGCATTGGGCATGTGGCAGGGATTTTGGAAAGAGGAAACGTTCAAGGTACGTATCTGGGAATGGGGTGATGGAAGACGGCGGTAATGGTTTCATAGGGAGGTTTAAGAGGGATATATTTCGGGAAGTCGCCAGCATGAGAAGCTCGCGGGAGGTGATAACGCAGTCAACATCTCGGACAGGGGTATGAGATTCAGTCCATGAGAGCCCTTGCCATGACGCATTCGTTAATTCCTGTCGGCTAGCCTCTAGCTTTTTATCAAAACATGGCATGATGGCTAAATGCCAAATATGGCACGGCGAAATGTTTAATGCCTTTCTCAATACACTTTTCAACAAAGTGCCCGTGAGAGCCTGAGGAGACTTGATGCGGGACATGTGAGGTAGGACGTGTGGGTGAGTCTTTTCGGCGTAACAAATCCATCCCGGGCAAATAGATGACAGTATTGGTCGTTTTGGGACTGGAAACTCTTCCCCGCTGATTGTATTCCCCGAGATCTCCAAGGATTCTTTAACCTCAGTGACACCCAGTTCCAGGCAAACATTTCGCATCACATTTGTATCAACAACCCAAGTGAAGCCACTGCCATGAGCGCCACCAGCCCGTAATCCCTGAGGACCACTCAGAAACTGTTCAATCAGGTATCCAGCTTTGCGTTCGGATATGCCAAAGGTTGCTGCCAAACTAGCTCTAACCTGTGGACTGACACTTGCAATAAATATCTTCCTGCCATCTGCTGAGCATGTTTGCCCCTCAGCAGAGCAAGGAACATCGGGCCTTGAACTTTGAGAGCCGCATATCTTTTGATTGTGGATCTGTAATTCAGGACACGAGTCCAAGGTTTTGAGCACTTCGGAGTGCGACTGGAGAGATACCAAAACTGCTTCCGCTGAGGTGACGCATCCTGAACATGCCAAACAATCTGTTAAGGAAATTTGAGCGGCAGGAGGATTTCCAGCTTGGATCTTGTCCTCTGTCGTTACCTCATATGCATTCTGTTGCCACCAAGAGAGTGTTAGTAAAAAAAAAAAAAAAAAAAAAAAGGGGGCTTTATTGCTGCTGAAGACAAGGGAGAATAGGATTCATACCTCTTGGTTTTTACTATCTTCCTCTGGTAATGTCTCTACGGGCTTTATACAGGCAACACCAGGGGATATAAAATCATTCAAATCATCGGAGGACAGGATCGCGCTCATGGTTGGAGCACTTGAGGGGCGAACTTAGTTAGATGCGCAAGGCTCCAACAAGCAATATCGCACTTGATTAAACAACAACACTGCTGTATGCACCACCCAGAAATAACACCACCAAGGAAACCAAGCATGATAGAAAAATCTACACAGTACGTTTGAGAGCAAAATATTGACAACTCATCAAGGTTTTAGAGATTCCTGCCTTCGCTTGTCCGGAAGGCGGTTAGTAATCAGCATTGGATAATTAGTTGAACAGTTTATATTCCACCCTAAGCCCGATAGGGCCTCACCGCTGTCGATAAGCTTATTTTTCTGCCGGCAGTATTCTTGTCACATTTTACCATTTGACAAGCATTGGCTTGTTAGTAATTTCAAGTTCCCGCCTTTTAAGGGGCTGCCCCCGCAGTGTGGCTGAGAACAAGGTCTAAAAAATGGGCATGTGTCTCCTGTTCAGGGAGGAGTTATTGAGTGCAGAATGCCACTGGTCTATTGAATCTTATACACTTGTCGGATCAAGTTCCACGGAATGTCTGACCCTCGCAAAAAAAAGCTGGTGCAAACCGTGCTCAACCTCCATCCGGAGGGGGGAAAGGGTCTCGGTGACTCCCGCTCCCCGTATTTTGCCCGACGCCAACGCCTCCAAAATGACAATATGACAGCTAGCTCATTACAGAATGATTCTCAAGACACAATGGACGATATACAACTTACCCCAACTGTATTGCAGTCACAAGAATCGTATAACAATACAATCACAGATTCTAGCTACGATCTATATCACAAACGTGCAATCCAAGCTTCTCGCAAAAGCCTCTCCAGCATAGCTGCAGAAACCACGACTTTGCTTCCCAATATTCTCGCTACAGCCCCCCACGCTCCCCCAAAAGGATACCTGTACGCACCTCCAAACCCGCCCCATCTCGGGCGGCGCTTCTGCCCGAACCTCCATCCCACTGCAATCCGCCTTCACGATGCGGATACCTTCGACACCGCCATTGGCCTAGCGAACTGCGCAAAATACATTACCATCCAGGACAAGAAGCCTGTCTGCGTCCTGAACATGGCCAATGCATACATCGCAGGCGGAGGCTGGAAGCACGGGGCTCTAGCTCAAGAAGAAGCCCTCTGTTATAGGAGCAGTCTCAGCTTCACGTTGAAGCGGCGTTACTATCCGATTCCAGAGATGGGCGCGATATACTCACCCACTGTGGTAGTGATTCGGGAAAATATGGATGAAGGTGAACATAAACTGTTAGATTTGTCCCGGCCGGACAAGCTGCCTGTGGTTAGCGTGGTTAGCGTGGCGGCCCTCTGTTTGCCAGCAGTTGAGAATAGGGAGGTGCCAGGGCTGGGGGCTAGGGAGGTCTATAAGGATCCTGCTGATCGGGAAATTATGAAGGAGAAAATCCGGGTGGTTCTGCGGACTGCCGCGGTTAATCAACATCGGAGATTGGTGCTGGGTGCGTTGGGTTGCGGGGCGTTTGCGAATCCAAGGGAGGAGGTGGCGGATTGCTGGGCTGAAGTCTTTCTGGAGCGCGAATTCAGTGGTGGGTGGTGGGAAAGTGTCATATTCGCCGTTATGGATGATCGGGGCGAGGGGGAGGATGGGGATGGAAATTTTGGTGTGTTTTATCGAAGACTAAACGGAGTTATGGTCTAAGTTTTGGTAGAATAGTAGAATGGTAGAATGGATACCCTTGAATTTCGCACTAATGAGTTGTTTGCGCAACCCGTTGTCGAGTGGGGTCTTTTATGGGGCCAGACGATGTGGATATGAAACCTGGGGAATGTGAAATCTCCATGAATTTTGAACGTCCAAATCATGGTGGAGATTTATAAACGGGCATAACCAAGCTGAATCCAAGGTTTTGCCTCGGCTCGCAAAAATGCCAGCCAATGCCTCCCGATGTGCTTAATTTGATACCAAAGATAAAACGGAATTCACACCTATCTACTTTCTTGACCTGGTGGATCTACGGTTCTTTGGGGTTTTGTTCTCTTCCGTTTGGGCAGTGTCCGTCTGTTTCTTACTCTTCGACTCCTTTATTTTTGGTTCATCTTTTGGCTTCTTCATCGTAGGTTTCTTCGCGGGAGAATGAGATTCCACATTCTCCACATATTTACTATCCTTCTTTGAAGCAGCTCCTCTCTTCTTTTTGGGGGGCTCATTGTTGTCATCCGTGGCCCCATCTTCCACATCTCCCGCAACGGGCCCTGTCTTTTTCTGGATAGCTGGTACTATAGCACTTGTGCGACCGCCAACTGTAATAAAAACGATCTTTTCACCATTGGGAAGTTGATGTGAATGGTTCGCTTTACCCTTGCTCCACCGGTGGCTGAATAACCAATTGGACGGGAACTCCTCCGAATTTCCCAAGAGACCAACCGATGTCGAGCACACATAGTTGATCGCGGAGTAGAGCTGTTCGATCTGGCTTTCCTGGAGGGTATTGCTGTATTGTTCTGGATGGATTTTTGCATGGTATAATATTTCGTCTCTAATTATTGCAGATGCCTTTTGTTAGCAAGGATTTCTCCACAGGCAAATCGTTTCAAATCGAAGAATACTAACCCCATCCAATTCCCAATTCCACTGATATTGGTTTGGTCAAGCAGGAGCGCCTTTATAGGCACTCTTTTGCTCAAAACTTTTTTTCTCAGCCAATCCAAGGTCACGATATCCTTATCCACAATGGGGTCTGGTCCATTCTCCTTGAGAGGACTATATTTCCTAATATCAGTGCCAGGACAATCGACCAATCGCACACGACCAAGACGTCTCGCGTCCACAAACGCAGCCTCAGTCTTCGGCTCATCATCAAGCTCAAGCATAAATTTCCAGAAATTTGACGGCCACGGTTCATCCTCTCTGTCATTCCCTTTGTCGGATGCTGGGGCTCTATAGTAATATGTATGGACATTTTTCAACTTCAGCCAGCCAGTCATACCAAAATGCATGACGGGATGAGGCGGGGAAGACATGATCATCCAGAAATATTTCCCCTGTTGTCCCGTATCCACTATCGATTTTCCTTCCATGTGCTTTTGGAACTCCGCAGCGGTTGTTCCCACCTTGCCAAAGACGATAGGGTCATCTTGGACATGAACTTTGGTGATGGTTTTACCCACGAGATATTTGCGAATGTAGTGAACGACCCGTGCAACCTCAGCTAGCTCGGGCATGATGGAAATAGCGACGTCGTATGGATGGGTTTAAGGAAGTTCGAGGCTCTAGTAGTGAGCAGTTTATCTACTTTAGGATATATGTTTAGATCAAAACCGATGTATGCCTTGACCAGGGCATAAAATCAGATTAAATGCCTCAGGGAAGTAGTAAAAACCGGGAGCAATGGGGACGATTCTCTCTCAAATAAGGCCAAAGAGATCCAATTGACCCTGCACAGAGAAAAAGTGTTGTTCAGGGAAACGCAATCGTATTAAAGAGGGTTGCGTTGAATGACGAGTAGGTTAGTAGTTAACTAGTTAGCTAACTACGTTAGCCAGCATTTGGGCGATTAGTAATCGATAGACAGTCCATAGAATCAACTGCTGCCTGGAGCAGGGCAAAAGAACTCCGATATCTTGGGTCTTGAAACCATTTTCCTGCTGAATTTGACTTTTGATGTGGAGGGTACAGAAGGGTTTATTTTTGCTGTCTTGCTGTGAAACGTGCGATTCCATGAGGCCAAAAGCCAAACACGCTGTCATGTGACCTGACATAAATGCAGAGAATTCAGTTGGCAATTCTTTGATTGATTGAATGTTGCATTGCATCTTGCAACTTTGCCCTGCAGAACATCCATGTCGATCGTACTTCTATTGATTCCGAATTTAGCTTACGGACATCTCGATCTAAGACATTCCCATTTTGTTTCATTATTTCATCATTGCTTGCGGAGTTTATAATAGCATTCTCGGGGTATTTTGGAACCCATAATCATCGATACTAATACCAATGGTATAAAATTATCCTGCATTCATCCCTACTACCATTCACCAAGATACTTTTTCCCGCAACGTCTAGCTGTCCAAACACTTTCATGCTGGGTTGGTTTTGGGCTACTCCGTCCCCCTCAAACAACCAACCGCCCTTGCCGGCCAAAAGGGAAATGTCCAAACCCTCCTCTCAACTAACTCTGACTCCACAATTCTGCTTTGACAAGGGAGCTCTCAGAGGTACCCCCTTCCTCCCATGTCCAACATAGCCTTTATAACTACGGCAGAAGTCTAACTAGTTTCTTCCCCCCTGCCCCACATTAGACTTCCTCCGCATCTCCCGTTCGAGTATAGATGACTCCATCACTCAGAATCTGAATGCGCTCATTACACCGGCAGAAAAGGGCTTTGACCCGTCTATGACAACAGCTCGACAAACAGATTATCGAAGCAGAGGGCAAATTGAACCAGAGAGATGCCACTCGTTTCTGGATAATGCCCTCTTCCCATCATGGCAGGCCCGGTCTGACGTGTTGAATTATTGTGCTGGGGTGGCAACGAGTCCCGACCCCAACGATCCAGATCTTCTGCTGCGCGAAGTGGAATCGGCAAAGGATAGAGAAAGAGTGGTTGATGAGCGATTAGATCCATATTCGGCTAGATTTTTTCCGCGCGAAGCAAGGACTGAGTCCCTGGCGATGTTGCTAAGGAATGAGAGGGGAGTGGAACATATCATTCGAACCAGGACTTGGGGTTTGGTTAAGGAGCGGTGTGAAGTTTCACATGAAAGCTGGGAAGAGGCATTGAATCACTGGCGAGAAAAGCAGAATCAAAAACGATGATGAGGAAACCCCCTTTCTGTTGGAGGTTTTGATCCAGCTACGACGTGCCCCTTTTGCTCAAGAGACTACGGACGCTGCCTTGGGGGATATTTGGAGGATTTATGTCCACAAGATGCATTTGCACGCTTTGGTGAATGGAGTCGCAGAAGTCCATGCCAGTTTCATATAAGAGTTGGCAGATAGCCCACAGGCGTATATGCCTAAGGGCGCTGATGGCTCTGTATTGTAAAATATGTTTCCAGCATAAATATGTATATAAATTTCTACTCTTCCATGCATTTTGGACAAATGGTCTGTCAGGAATGCAGCCATCTCGCGTGCTTTCAGAGCATACAAAATAGATTGCAATGAATGCCTCTGAGATAGCGTAATCTCGGTTGTGGATAGCAGAAGAGTTGCCAGCCCCATACAAATTTATTTAAGTTGTATTAACTATGGGTCAGTTCCATGGACAATCAGCACGGTCACATGATCCCTATCCCGGCTACCATCGGTTGACATGGCGATGTAAACGAAGGCCGAATGTTTCGATGAGATCGATTTAAGAGGCTGATTGTGCTCTCAATTGCGCTTCGTTGTGAGCATCCTATATTCAATCTGAGATATGATGGCTCTACGCTGCAGAGGGTCTCTTACCCAGGCTCTGCGTCCAATCTGCTCTGCTTCGCGTCTGCTGCCCGCTGCTGCCCGTATTTACCCCATCTCTTCTCCCCGCCAAAGATTTTTCCATGGCTCCCCGGCATCATGGGCGATCAGATCTCAGGTCCTGAAAGATGTCGGTGAAGGTATGGCCCCATTTTAGAGATAAGGCCGGTGCATCCTCAATCTGGCGTAACCACCGTGTGCTGTGCTAACCAATGCGCCTTAAACAGGAATCACCGAGATTCAGATCATACAATGGTACGTCCAGGAGGGGGCCAAAATCGAGGAATGGAAGCCGTTATGTCAGTACCAGTCCGACAAAGCGGTCGATGATGTACGCGTTCCTGTCCATTTGCAGCAGTGGAAGCTCTCGGCCTAACAGATGTCTCTGCAGATAACGTCGAGGTATGAAGGGGTGATTAAGAAACTCCACTTCCAGGCGGATGAAACCGTTCCAACGGGGATGGTAAGAGAATATATGGTCTATTGAACTCTCCCCATATAGCCTCTACTAACAAATTTAAAAAGGCTTTGTGCGATATCGATGTTGATGAGTCAAAATACCCCGTCGAAAATGCAACACCTCCGCCAGCAATTAAGCCGGCCGCTACACCCCCCCTGCCCCTAGAGCAGCAGCAGGTAAAACAGGAGGTAAAAGAAGGCTCTGCTATATCTTTGAATACTGCAGAAGCACCACCAAAACCCGTTGAGCAGCCCGCAACTCTCAAATCTAAATATGCTACTCTTGCAACCCCAGCCGTTCGTGGCATGCTAAAGGGGTTGAATGTCGATATACTAAACGTAACCGGAACCGGCAAGGACGGACGAGTGATAAAAGAAGATGTCCTCCGATATGTGGCGGAACGAGACGCTGGTGCGGTAGAAGTAACGGCATCCTCGTCAGCAACACCGCAATCTCCACCAGCCGCACTGGGTATTAGCACCCCGCAAACAGAGACCTCTACCCCATTGACCTCAATTCAATCTCAGATGTTCAAAACCATGACTCGATCGCTTTCAATTCCCCACTTCCTCTACGCTGATGAACTCAACATCGCCTCCCTATCCTCCATACGCAAGAAGCTCGCGAGTCACCCAACCCACCCCCAGAAACTCTCCTACCTCCCCTTCATCATCAAAGCTGTCTCTCTCTCCCTCAATACCTTCCCCCTCCTAAACGCAAGAGTAGACACCACCAACCCAAACAAGCCTTCCCTAATCATGCGTTCAAACCACAACATTGGTGTGGCCATGGACACGCCGACGGGTCTTCTAGTGCCAAATATCAAAAACGTCCAGGCCCGCTCCATCCTCGATATTGCCACGGAACTCGTCCGTCTCACCGAGGTGGCGCGTGCGGGCAAATTGACCCCCGCAGACCTGAATGGCGGAACCATCACGGTGTCCAACATTGGTAATATTGGAGGCACTTATGTCGGGCCTGTCATTGTACCGAACGAGGTAGCCATTCTTGGCATTGGGAGGGCGAAAATTGTCCCTGTTTTTGACAAGGCGGGCAACGTGGTTAAGGGCGAGAAGGTGAATTTTAGCTGGAGTGCGGATCATAGAGTTGTAGATGGGGCGACGATGGCTAGAATGGCGGACAGGGTGAGGGGCTATTTGGAGGAGCCTGAGTTGATGATGTTGGCGTTGAGATAGGCGGTTGGTGAGGATCCATCATATATTCATATCTGTATACCCGTAGATAGATACACATACAGAGAGAGAGATGAGAAAGAACTCTTCTGTTTAGATTAGAGGAAGGATGGGATGCTCTTTTGTTGGTCGTTTTTTTTTTTCTTTTTTTTCTTTTCCTTTTCTTTTTGGTTGTTTTTTTTTGGGGGGGGGGAGGGGGTTGCGTTGTTCCCACATGTGTTTTGTACCGTGTGAACGTATACATGTTTCCTAAATCTATATAGAAAGATATGGCATTGCTGATTGTTTGGGCGCATCTTGCGAGGATTGTGCTTTAGGGCGATAATAATAAAGTTAATTTCCTTGTTATACTATATTCTTGACCGATTCACTGCTGAGGAGCTAGCTATAACAAATTCAGAATATGATAGAAAGTATATTGAAGTGATTGAATTTTGCACGGGTCCAGGGCTCAGCTCCTGAATAAGGACTTAAAATCTAGAAGCCTGGGGGAGAAAACTTGCATATATAGTTGTCTCATATTGCACCAATATACGCCTCCAATCCTCTCTTAATATTGTTGCCGGATGTTTAACAAGAAGGGAGATGTAGTTAATAAATGTGTATGTCGATTTTGAGTTGGAATTGCTCCCCGCGAAACTTTGTCATTCGTCCCTAATCCTTAGGTAGACGGATTTTAAACCGTTGCAGTACTATGAAGCCACTGCTCTGTACATGATGGATATAAAGCTCCTTGGGGATATGAGTGGGCATAGACATGTCACATTGGCTTGTCTGGCAGAAGGGCCCGTCCGTTAAACCTTGCAATAAATGATAACAGTCCGGCATCTTGCTTCCATTCGTAACCCCTTTTTATCTCGTTCCAATTCACGTCTTCCCGGTGTCCTCTCCTGGCATGGAATGTAAAGTTCAATTATAATCCTCCATAATTTTATTTACTGCAGCAAAGACACGTTCCCGTACTGCAGCCCGGCTATCGTCACACGGCACGGTTACCACATCCGGTTCCGAGTCCCGATTTGGTTTTTCTAGAGTTTTCACCTGTGAGCAAACGAGACTGGGCGGCATAAAGTGACTCTTCCGCGCTGTGACTCGCTTGTGAAGCACTTCTTCCTCAGCATTCAGGAAGATGAAGTGGATTTTGACTGTTGGGTGTTCGTCTGCTGCTCCACGCATAATGTCGCGGTACTTCTTCTTTAAAGCGGAACAGCTCATCACAACACCAGAAGATGTCTGGAGAGACTCCATGGCAGCCTCACGCAGCGATACCAGCCACCCTTTTCGATCATTGTCATCGAGGGGTTGACCCTTCTCCATCTTCTCTTTGTTGTTTCTTGGATGATACTGTGCATTTTGTTATCTGTCAGCCTCCAATATATCTGACCTTGATATTCTAAGATCTGCGTGCGGTATCTGTGAGAGAAGGCTTAATTGTATACTTACATCGTCACCTTCAATATAGTCCATTTGTAGCTCTTTACTTAGTTCCATTCCGACAGTCGTCTTGCCACAACCGGCGGGTCCGATGACGATCCAAATGTGATGCAGGTCCTGATCCTGTGCTCTCGAGTTTTGCTCCATGGCCGTATGTCGTCTTTGCTGCTATGTCTGTGCTGCTATGTCTTTGAGAAAGCGTGACGTCTTGGGGTTGATATCAGCATGTCGTTAGTTAAGAGACACACCACCGGCCACGCCGGCCATGATCTTGGGTGTCCACGGACAACATGATAGCGGAATTGTAGGAGAAAAAGCTAATAATGGTTTGGTTGAGAAAGGGAAGGTTTCTTGCAAACAAAACTGCTCCTCGGATTTAACAAATTTCACCACCCGGTTCAGCGGACTCTGGAGGTTTCTCAAAGCCAAAGCAAATAGCTATTTATCTTTAATGCAGGTTCCAAAAAGAAACTCGATAAAGATACACTCAAAACAAGAGAACAGGACGGACAAAGCAATAGGAAAAATCAAAGTACTTTTTAGAAGAAATAACACTAAGAAACTTTGGTCAAAAGGGAAACTTTGGTTTAAGAACTTAGGGTGGCTGAGAATAATGGAGGTGGGGGAAGTATAAAATAGTAGGTAAGGTTGGCCCTGGAAACACCTATTGGACCCGCTGCGACGGGTTCTGGGACCGACAAGGATCCGAACAGGGGAATGTGAGAGGCTGGCAGAGTTTCAAAGTGTTGACAGAACAAACACTGAACTTACAGACTTGAACTTACTGACTCGAAGGAACTTGTCCACATGACTTGAATTAGATAACGGGGAAAACAACAACTATGCAGAACTCGAAATGTGCTAGGAAGAGGAGAACCAAAGGCCCGATATCAACTTATATATCATTTTTGGAACGGGTTTTGGGTAAAGGGGGTTGGCAGGAACTTTGGACGTGTTAAGTTTGATGTTTAAGATCGGTTCTCCAAAACGTGGAGGCGCGGCCTGTGATTGGATTGACAGCAAGCAGCTTTGATTAAGTTTAGGTCAACAAATTGTCATCCCGTAGGCCGGTTCAAATAACTATCCAAAGCAAGAAGCTTTTTGATTTGACAGCATAGAGTCAGAGAAAGCCGGCCCTGGGGAACATCGATAGTCGGGATTGAATTGATGATTTGGACAAAAGGGATCAGAGCGGCTGCACGGAACATTATGCCCTGCCGCTGAAACGAGCTGCACGCACTGCATCACGCTGATGTAGATGAAGCTGAGCAGTTCCATAACCCGCTGCTCACGAGCTTTGGGGAGAAACGTCAGGATGTCAGTCAAGATGAGCTTACAGAAAAGGGGGAAAAATCCTGCATGGTTGGAACCCCCTCGCACTTATGTGGCGTCCCGTCTGTGGGTATAACTAGCCAATAATAAAAACTTAGCCGCTGCAGCCCACGCAGTCCAAGCCTTGAGGATAATATTGGGGGTGAAGGTACAGAGTATGTTCCACTTGATTCAATACCTGGCTGATTTCTACAGCGACGGTAGATACGGAGAAAGAATGGTGTTTTACCACCAGGGAATTTAGAGTTACCGTTGACGTTGACCCTGGCTTCTCTCAACGGCTCTGGCGGCGATTTGGGGGGTTATTTAGTGAAACTTGGGTGGGTAAAACATTGGCTCTGATCCAGGAGCCAAAATCACGCAGAAATACAGCATCAACACCGATCGTTCATGAGCCTCAAACAAGCTTTGAGTAGCTGATTCCAAGATACCACCCAACTGGCGCAGGGATATGCATGATAACCTACAGAGCTTGAACCGCTACTTCATCCTACAAAGTTCTCGAACAGAGGGACACGTTTGGGTGAAGTTCCGTAAGATTCGGGGAAAAAACACTCCAAGGTCCAATAGCTTGACAGTCGCTATATCACTTGCATACCAACCACTCGCATAGGTCTGTCTCAGCAGGTTGCGAGATATAAAGAAGGGAGATGCAAGCGCAATGCATGATACCATGCAATTCAAGTTCCCTTTGCATTAGCTAAATGTTATCCAACTGTTATGATTAAATTGGCGGGGATCAGCCGATATTCTCCTAGGTCCTCTGTGGAATCTCTTCCACTCTTCGTATGCATAGCTGGAAAATTACATCCACTACAATCTCAAGAGTAACTCCTCCCGCTATGTTTTGTGGCCGAGACAATAATGGGTGAGGGGGAGGAGGGAGTGCTGCCAGTGTTCTACTGTTAGGGATGGCCTGGACTGAAACACAGCCTTGCCTGAATGATCTGCCTAATTTTCACTTGGGGGAATGTTTCATCGGTCAAGAAGAGCCCATCCCGTGTCGTGCATGCCCGGGACCCATGCTGGACAGGGGTCTGTCACAAACTTCCATTTTATCCGCGTTTTAGCTCATTGTGTGGGTGTTTTGGTGGTGTGGGTTCAGTGCAGCTGCAGCTAGCTAGCACCCTCTACTTCAACCCACTGAACAGGCCCAATGTAATGAGCTGCCCGAGAAGAGCAACAAGGGCAATAAGTATCATCAGCCGCGAAAGCCCACCATGCTCGGGAAGACCCTAGTCAACCCGGCGCTCTGTTTCAATGACAGCTACACCTCAACCTCCGTATCGGATGGTTCCGAAGTGATTGATCTGTGGGTGAAATTCTCAGATATTAGCTTAGCAAGGTTTTTTTTTTAAAGAAGGTGTGGTTATTCACTTATATTGGATTCTATGCCATTCTCATCCGATACATATCTAGAACACTAATTGAGATCGCTGTTTGCATGAAAGGCTGCTTGCTCAACAATGCACGCCAGAATGTTTCAATGCATGCATTTGTGGCATTGTTCAAATCCGCCGAAAAAGACTCCCCTTGACATGAGTGGATTTGGGGGTACAAGTCCTTGCCTCGCATTTTTGGAGCTCGATTCCGATGAGGGTTTGACCGCTTTTAATTTTTGATTTTACTAATTTTACGTTGTTGAATTGATTTCAATGTTGAAGAATCCCTTTTTCTGATGTGAATATTTCTCGATGCATAATGTCATGCCCCTTGCCGCCGAATGAGCACAGATAACTATAGAGATGATGGGCTGTGATTGGAACTGAGATGTAAATACTCCTATGCAAAACCCTCTTCATAATTGCACCACCCACCAGTAATACATAGGAAGAGGAAATTATCAGTCGCAGGGGAACGATAACTAGTTGTCAATTAGAGTTCTTGGCTGGACAAATTGTGGACAAACAGCCACTTGTGAGCTCATAGCAGTCACTTTCCAGCAATGATTGAGACTGTCAGCCACAAGTCTTATAAGATATTGTGAAGGATAGATTGCTTGATTGATTAGGAAGCGATCGCTAGCTACGCGGAAGTTATAACTAACGTAATCGATCACTCAACTGGCCAGATCACTCAACTGGCCACCTTTCCAATTTCAACCCATCATCAACAATCAAAGCTCAATTTCTCAACCACAATGAAAATTCAAGCCTCTAATCAGGAAGGAAAACTTCTTTTGGCCATTAGAGCCTATGAAACCAAGCAAATTTCTAGCATTCGAGCTGCTGCTAAGGTCTATGGTGTCTCTCATGCCACCCTATCCAATCAACTACATGGAGGCATTCCACGCGTGAAATCCCAGTCTCAACGCCAGAAATTGACACCTACAGAAGAAGAAGCTCTAGTTCAATGGATAATCTCCATGGATGAGAGAGGCCTACCCCCCCGAATTGCAAGTTTGGCCATTAGAGCCTATGAAACCAAGCAAATTTCTAGCATTCGAGCTGCTGCTAAGGTCTATGATGTCTCTCATGCCACCCTATCCAATCAACTACATGGAGGCATTCCACGCGTGAAATCCCAGTCTCAACGCCAGAAATTGACACCTACAGAAGAAGAAGCTCTAGTTCAATGGATAATCTCCATGGATGAGAGAGGCCTACCCCCCCGAATTGCAAGTGTATGATATATGGCCATTGAGCTACTCAGGGCCCGTGGATCTAGCATATCCCCTAGCATTGGAGAATGCTGGGTGTGGAGATTTATTAAACACCATTCTGAGCTGAAGACCAGGCTCACACACAGATATGATCACCAGTGAGCTCTATGTGAAGATCCAGAGATTATAAAGAGGTGGTTTAGAATGGTGGATAATGCCATGAAGAAGTATGGAATTCTACCTGAGGATACATATAATTTTGATGAAGTTGGCTTTCTTATGAGGGTTATTTCAACAACCTTAGTGGTCACTAGGTCAGAAAGAGCTGGAAAGGCATCTCTTATACAGCCAGAAAATAGGGAATGGGTGACTGTGATTGAGTCAGTCAATGCAAGAGGACAGAGCCTGCCTTCAATGATTATTCTCAAGGGCAAGCTACACCAGGCTTCATGGTATACAAACCTGCCAGCAGATTGAGTAATTGGGGTTAGTGAGAATGGCTGGATCACTGATCAGCTTGGTCTAATATGGCTGAAAGAGGTGTTTAACAAGCATACTCAGGCTTATACAGTTGGAAGATATAGACTCTTGATTCTGGATGGGCATGGGAGCCATGCCACTGCTGAATTTGACCAATTCTGCAGAGAGAATGCTATTATAGCTCTCTATATGCCACCTCATTCTTCCCATCTGCTGCAGTCACTAGATGTGAGCTGCTTTGCCCCTCTGAAGAAGACATATTGCAAGCAGGTTGAATCTGGCATGAGGCTTGGCATTAATCATGTGGATAAGGAGGAATTCCTAGAACTATATTCTGCTGCTAGGAAGGAGGCATTGAAGAATATGACTATTAAGAATGGATTCAGAGCCACAGGCTTAGTGCCATTCAATGCAGAGGAGGTTCTTGAACGCCTATATTATCAACTACATACACCAAGTCCCCCAGGCACATCTCATGAATCTCAGGCCTCCTGGACCTCAAAGACTCCCTGAAATGCTGTCCAATTGGAACGCCAATTCAACAAGCTCAAGCAGTTTATCAAGCATTGTACGCAAAGCCCGCCTAGTCCTACCAACCAAGCTCTAGATCAACTAGTTTGGGGGTGCCAACTAGCTATGCATGGGGGTGCTCTTTTGGCTCAAGAGAACAAGGCTTTACAAGCTGCAAATGAGAAGCAGAAATGCAAGCGAGGACAAGGCTGTGTTTACATAGGTCAGGAAGGAATTCTGACTGGAGAAGAAGGATTAGCTAGAGCTCAGACTGCTCAGACTGCTCAGCAGATGGTGGATAGAGGGGTGGAGGATTCAAATCAACCCACTAAAAAGTGAGCACCGGCACGCTGCAGCAAGTGTGGGAATACTGGACATAGGGCCCCTGGATGCTTGCAGAGCTAGGATTTAATTGTATATAATTTTTTAATGGATAATTTAATATAGTGGTGGCGGAATTTAAAGATTTGCTTAATGTACAGTGGGGAGGTGGCCAGTTGAGTGATCTGGCCAGTTGAGTGATTGGTTACGTTGTACGGTGCGGATTACGTAAGAAGGCGGATAGGCCTGACAGATATGATATCGCTGTACAGAGTAGAATTGTCCAGCATCCAGTTTGAAGTCTGCAATCTCTGATTCTAGCAAATAATGTAATTGTTCTTAATATATCTTAGTTAACCAAGTTAGTAGTTAACTAATATATTTCTTAGGTAGGTATAACACTTAAGCAAGTGCAACATCAATTCAAAATATCTTTTAATTTAACTACTACTTCACTTCAATGTGCAATTATGCCATTAATTCATAATAAAAATGCTTCAATTCATAAAGCTGCTCATTTATTTAATGTCTTTCATTCTACTTTAATCTATCAACTAAATGAATGATAATCAAGAATGAATTTATATGCAAATTCACATAAATTATCTTCTGCTAAAGAAGATAAGCTAGTTAAATGAGTACTAAATCAAACTAAATAAAATTTTTTCTCATAGTCAGCATTGATTGAGAATATAGCTAATTACCTTCTTATTATATAGAATTCAATCATCTTTACCATTCTCTCTCTCTGCATTGACAAGAACTGAGTATTAAATCTAGTGGCACATTGTTTAGAGCTCTATAGCTACTATTCTAGATGATATAATTATAAACAGACTAAGTATGAAGATCAGTAAATTTTATGTAATTGATTTAAAATCTTAAGAGATATAATTGCTAAGTATAGAATTCTGTCATATGGGAGTTTGCACCACTACTAAGATTATTATTAATAGTAAGTGCTACAGTAGAGCAAAGCTTCTACATTCTGAAAATTGTGAATGGGTGACTGTAATTGAGTCAGTCAATGCATCTGGATAGACCCTACCTCCCCATATTATTCTCAAAAGCAAGGGCTTGTTGGAAGGGTGGTTTGAAAGCCTTCCAGAAGGCTAGAGGCTAGATACTAGTCCAAATGGCTGGACTACTGATGAAATAGATCTGAGATGACTTCAACAGACATTTATTTCAGCAACAAATCCTTACAGAGTTGGCAGATCTATCCTTCTTATCCTGAATGGCCATGGCAGTCATCTTACTCCAGAATTCAATCAATTCTGCAAGAATAATGCTATAATATACCTTTATATACCACCTTATTCCTCACATCTTTTGCAGTCACTAGATGTGAGTGTTTTTTCATCTTTAAAGTGAGCATATGTGGACCTAGTTCATGTTAAGGTGCGAATGCGAGCTGCATAAGAAGGAAACTCTCTGCGTTGCTAACTGCTATATAACAGAATACTAAGCTTGATGGGATGAAAGGGGGGTGCTGGGGCCTGCCTGGATTATAACAACCCGCATGGTCGCATTATCACGTGATGAGGGTTAGGCCTAATCGGGCGCCGAGCCTAATCCGACGTCGAGTCTAATTAGGCGCCGGGCCTCGGTCGGGCTCGGTCGCGCGCTGAGCCTAACAGTTCAGCAGTGAATGCGGCTTAGATTTAATGTCATTTGGAAAGCAAATTTCTTGAATGCTTATCCTGCAGCGTGTGCTGCAGCCTTCAAGCCTCAGACTATTCAAAATGGTTTCAAGGCAGCTGGAATAGTGCCCTTTCAATCTGACTACATCCTCTAGCAGCTGGATAGTCAACTACAGACCTCTACCCCTTCATGCAGCAGCTCTAGCAATTCAACCACATCCTAGGTGCTTCAAACATCTAGTAATCCTCGGCAATTACACTGGCAGGCAAATAAGATCAAAAACTTAATGGAAAATCAGCCTCAAGGCTTTGTGAAAGGTTTTGATTAAATTATCAAGGTCTGTGAATATGAGATAATTAGTATCACTATTTATAAAGTAGTAATATCAGAATATATTTAACATAAATGAGATATAGAAGTAAAAATACAATAAATCTAGACATTGAATATAACAAGAAGTAGAAAATTTAACTAATAAAAAAGTTTAAAGTTTTTTAGCTTTATCTACATCATCTGTTAAATAGTCAGTTATTCAATCTCATGAGTTTTTACTATTTACATCTGTTTCATACTAATGGGCTTTATAATATTGCAGCAATTATAATAATTTTAGACATATAAGATTAAAATATTTTTAATTATATATAATTTAATTTAATTTGATTGAATGCTATAATATTAAGATAATTTGAATTAAAATCTAATAAGTTAAGCTTTGATGGTCTTGGTGTTGTGCTTGCTTAAGTGTTATACTCATTTGAGAAATATATTGATTAACTAATGTATTTCTCAAGCAATTGCAACATTCAAGTGAGTATAACACTTAAACAAGCATAACATCAAAAGCACTAGAGTTCAACTTATTAGATTTTAATTTAAATTATTTTAATACTATAATACTCAATTAAATTAAATTAAATTATATATACTTGAAAATATTTTAATTTTATATATCTAAGATTATTATAATTATTGTAGTATTGTGAAGCTCATCAGCATAAAATAGATATAAATAGTGAGAACTTATAAGATTGAATAACTAACTATTCAACAAATGATACAGATTTTGCAGATGATATAGATAAAGTTAAAAAACTTTAAACTTTTTCACTAGTTAAATCTTCTACTTCTTATTAAATTCAGTATTTAAATCTCTTATATATTTATTTTTTTATTTTATTTATATTGAATATATTCTAATATTACTTTTTCATAAATAATAACTATTATAACTTGATATAAAATCATGATAATATATAAAATAAATACTCAATTCATATATCTAACTAGATAGCTGCAATGAGAATACTAAATTGAGAATTAGAATATAAGAATGAATAAGTAGTCTGATATATATAAATAATTAAGAATCAAAGTATATCAATCTAAATAACTAAATATAATTAAGAATCAAAGCAAATCAATCTTAGCTTATATTATCAGTAATAATACTATAACAATAACATTGATTATTTTATATTCACAGATCTTAATAATTTGATCAGAGCTTTTATTCTACTATAATACTCACTACTAGTAATAATTTTAATAGTAATATAAACTTTCATAGCAAATTCAGTCTCATCAAAGTTGTATATATCTTCTAATAGAATTCTATACTTAGTAATTATATCTTTCAAGATATTAAATCAATCATATATAATTTACTTATCTTTATACTTAGTCTGTTCATAATTACATCATTTAGAATAGCAGCTTTAAAGCTTGAACAATGTGCCATTTGATTTGACATTCAGTCTTTATTAATATAGAGAATGGTAAAAATGATTAAATTCTATATAATAAAAAGATAATTAAATGTATTCTCAATTAATGTTGACTGTAAAGAAATTTCTTATTTAGTCTCATTCATCACTTATTCAACTAGCTTATGTTTTTCAGCAGAACATAATTTATGTGAATTTGCATATAAATTCATTCTTGATTGTCAGTCATTTAGTCAATAGATTAAAGTAGAAGAAAAGACATTAAATAAGTAAGTAGCTTTATGAATTGAAATAATTTCTTGATTTTTAAAAGCTTTTATCATGAGCTCAAGTCTTTCCTCTCTTTCTAGAGAATCTGAAGCATTTTTATTATGAATTGGTGGCATAATTGCACATTGAAGTGGAAGAGTAGTTAAATTAAATGATATTTTGAATTGGTGTTGCGCTCACTTGGGTGTTGCGCTCACTTGGGAAATACATTAGTTAACAATCTTTTGAGGTGGTCTGGTTGATTATGTAATTGTGGTTGTAAAACGGCGGCTGCATCGCAACATTAACTACGCCAGACTGGAAGAACTAAAGCCCAACGGCGAAGGATATATTTTCAAGAGGCAATTAGCTACTGTTGCTGCAATAGGTGCGCATGCAGATTCCGGAACGTCCATAGGAACCCGAATTCTACCGCCAAGGTCCCTTGTCGGTTGCCATGTCGTCTTTCTTCTTTACCACCCCTGTCGATATCGACATCGTCCTTGAAGATAGCGACGAACGGGAAACTGTCGATATCAAACTAGACAAGAACAGAAGGGAGAAGGCCCCGCTGTATATGGATGGCGAATCTGTGAAGGGAGCGGTGACAGTGCGGCCTAAGGATGGGAAACGATTAGAGCACACGGGCATCAAGGTGCAATTTATCGGAACGATAGGTACGGCGCATATGGCAATGCGCCATTCCCTCTTCACTTCATCCACCCAGCATTGAGGTTAATCTTATTGACTGATATGATGGGCCTTGATTAGAGATGTTTTTTGATCGGGGTAACCATTACGAATTCCTCTCCTTTGGCCAGGAACTTGCTGCGCCTGGCGAACTACAGCATCCGCAAATCTTCCCATTCAACTTCAAAAATGTCGAAAAGCAATATGAATCTTACAATGGCATCAATGTCAAGCTGCGGTATTTTGTCAGGGTGACGGTCTCACGGCGGATAGCGGATGTTGTGCGAGAGAAGGATATCTGGGTATATTCGTACCGCATGCCTCCGGAAACGAATAGCCCTATCAAAATGGACGTCGGAATCGAAGACTGCTTGCATATAGAATTTGAGTATTCGAAATCGAAATATCATCTCAAAGATGTTATTGTAGGGAGAATATATTTCTTGCTTGTGAGGTTGAAGATAAAACATATGGAATTGTCGATTATCCGCCGCGAAACGACCGGATCGCCCCCGAATCAGTATAATGAAAGTGAAACGTTGGTGCGCTTCGAGGTATGTTAAAACCGTATTTTACCAAAACTGGCACCCTCTGCGTATCAGAGGTGGAAACGCCGGCAATACCATTGGATAGGCTAACTCGCGTGTTTGTAGATTATGGACGGTTCCCCATCAAGAGGTATTCAGATTGTCCCCGTATCGTGTGGATATATTCCACGAAATTTCTTGATCACTTCTTTCCATCATCAACATGGTGTTACATACCATGTGACGAGCTAACAATCGTTATTTACCTACATATAGGGGAAACGATACCCATTCGATTGTTCCTGGGGGGTTTCGATTTGACCCCCACGTTTCGCGATGTGAACAAGAAGTATTCGACTCGATACTACCTCAGCTTAGTTCTTATTGACGAAGGTAAATTTCTCTTGGCGCTTGGAGGTCAAATGTTTCTTTTCTATTTTTTTGATCTCCCTAGCATGATTCGAATATTTTTTGAGATCCCTTGATTCTCATTGTCGGGCTTTTCTCATTCTCTCCACATCCTATGCGCATACCATTTCATCCAAACCCCACGATTTCTCACGACCGGGGCTTGAGCGCTCCAATTCAACTCTGTGTTTGGTTGATGGGAGCGGGGCCTCCACGCTAAGACTTCCCTTGCCGCAGTTCATACACGTCGTCTTTCTTTCCACATCCCTTCAATCAACCCCTTGGCCGATCGCATGGCAACAGTGCAGTATCGGTCGGACGGATCCAACAGCCATGCTGTCTATTTCACATTCACGTCATATACGTCACTTCTGACCCTGTCTATGTGTGCCCCTTGCTGCTTATGCTTGTTCACCTTTGCCAAACCGAGAATGATCACAGGTTGAAGGACAAGACATGTGAAGCGATGGCTAACCAAGTCTTCCAGATGCCCGTCGATACTTCAAACAATCCGAAATCGTTCTTTACCGTCAAGCCCCCGAAATCCCATTAACCCCTGAAGTTGCACAGCAACAAATTGACCAGCAACAACAACTCCAAGGTGAGCCTGTTACCTCAGCAGGTCCAACAAAAGACATGCAAACCGCATCGTTTGGAAAGCAGCAAGTTTCGGCCCCTGCATAGATGATGCTGGATGGGGACGATGACGACGGGATGCAGGGCTGGTTAGATGATAGCGATGGTTCCATGAATTGTTGGAGTTGTGGTCATTGGCTTTTGATTTCCCTTGTTCCGATTTTTTAGAACGGACAATCACGTTGTGTATCGTGAATTATTCCACTCAGGATGGTCTTTCAGTATCTATTACGCCATATTCCATTTTTTTCAGTATATTGGCCATTAGGAGCTCTCGAATTGTTGTCCACCGCTTGCATCTATGGCTGCTGGTTTAAAGGTTTCCTACATCATACTTCATGGCTTATATAGCTAATCTCTGGTATCAAAAGTGAAATAACATGTCCACCGAGGAAAAAAATGGTGTGACATCCTGGAGGATTTGTAATCCTCCCATTGAAGACGGCTGAATATGTGGGACGCACAAGGAAAAAAAATGAAAATATATGTTAATTAATAAAATAAACTGAAGTGAACATGAATAGTGTCAACAAAGGGTGATGTTTTACACCAGGATCAAATAGAAGTATTGAGTTGAATCAATGCCATCCATCAATCATTTCCTTTGTCTACAGTCTCTCCGTCACTATCACCCCAACCACCACCATCATCTTCTTCTTCTTCCCCTCCATCCCCCGAAAGAGAGGCCAACGCCCTTCCCAACGCATCTAAAACGCTACTATCTTCTCTCTCCTTTCCAGCAACTCCCATCCCCCGTACGACGAGCGGATATATCCATCCAAGATGTTTCTTGAACATCGGTGATTTAACACCACCAACGCTGAACGTCTTGCCACATCCCAAGGGAATGGCAGGACCCGCATCGGGAATTGCACTTGGTTCACTTCTCAACTCAACTAGTCGACGGAGTAGATATAACAGCTCCTTTCGTGCTGGAGTCGGTTGCGGCATGAGTCCACGTAGCGGTTGGTCGGCGATGTAGGATTTTAGAGATATCGCGCAACGGAGGATTAGATAGGGAGAAACGGATTTTGCGAGGGATATATAAGGATCTGTCCTGCCTTGGTGTGTGGCTCTTGATGGAGATTCGGATGGCGGTGATTTAGGGGGAAGGGAACTGCTCGTGCGTGTTGATGCAAGGCCAAATAGCGTGTCGATCAGCACATAAGACATTTTTGATCGGAGAGTTGGCGCTGGATCGTAGGTGCGGCCCATACGGATTTTATACAAGTCACGCAGCGGCTCCGTTTCGACTCCTCCAAGGGGCAAGTCGCGATGCTGCGGAGGATAGAGAAACGATGAGTTGAAAAGCGCACAGGCAAAATCACGTCGTACTCTATCCGGTATCAAAGAAGAGCCTAGTGATGGTATGACCACGTTTCGGAGGCGGGAGAAAGATGTTATGTCGAATTCCTCATCTTCGTACACTGCATTGGGCTGCACATTCAATTTATTGTAATTATGGGCTGAAACAATCCCCCTAGAAATGTCAACGACACAACTCCAGAACCTAACTAGCTCTTCTTGATTAGAATTGGCATGTTGCTTCTCGACGTATGGGATAGAGACTTGGAGAATATCGAGGGAAACGGTTGTCGCCACCCGCCATAAAACGGGGTCCTGGTCTCTTCCATTCCAGTTATATTTATGGGTTATCTGGTTAGCCAGGTGTTCAAGCGCTCTGGACAATGTGCCACCTGAGAAAATATCAATAAGAATGCCATGTTCCACTATATACCACCCTAGCAGTCGCATTGCAGACTTTGAGAATGCCACAAAGGTTGGCCTTCTTTTATCTTGAGCCGGTGACCACTTTGTTAACGCGCAATCCGAAAATTCAGCAAGGCACCCAACAAGAGCTGGTTGAGAGGAAGTCCTCTCTAAACACATTGACTTCAAGCATTCTATAGCAAGTGCCTGCAACTCTGACTGGTGATCAACGTCTAGAGTGTAGTGGGATGACACTGATCCCCAGACGGAAATTTGTATATTATTGAGGACTTGGTCAATATGTGATTCCGTTAATGTATTCTTCAGGAGCCGATATAGCTGCTTGAAACACTTGAGATATGCTATCAAAGTATTTTGATTTAACATATCTAAATTTGGCTGATCATCTCCTTTGATTGGGTGGCCATCAGTCCAGACAGCCCACGCAGATTGCATAGGTTCGAAGCCGATGTCTTCATAGCCCTGTATTCGAGAGAGAACTTCCGAAAAACTTGAGAAGATAGATTCGTCCAACTCAAGTAGTTTAACCTTGATTATAGTGGCGAAATATTCCAATAGTCGGTTCCACGATTGAATAAAGCCCTCATACTGGATAATGGTATCGAAGTACGCAGCAATTAAGCTAGACAATCCTTTTGTCAGAACCACAGCGGTCTCTATCCATGCTTTAAGTTCCACAGAATCATGACCCTCCGATCCCTGCGACACTCTCAAAATTTCCTTCTGTACCGAGTCTGTCATAGCAAAGAGAACCTTGTTCAAACAGAGATGCCAAACTTTTGGTGGAAGTTGATGGCCGTACGCATCGAAAATTCGCAAGGAGGTCTGAATTGCAGTATTTCGAATTTCCGCCCGGTTGTCAGTACATAAACCAACAAGATGTAGAAGGAGGAGCAGCCATAATGAATTTCTAGAAATTGAGAGATCTGAGCTCTTGGCTAACGTGGTCAACGTCTCCTCGCTCGAAGAAACTTCCATATGACTTTCAATAGAGAACTTATCAATCTGACCCCGTAGAAAATCAGAAAGGTTCCAAAAGGTCGTTGTAGAAGTAAGCGAGATATTGAAATCCTCCATCTGTGACGCAAAGTTCGCAAAAGCTCTAACCAACTCTAAGAGACACGGGGATGGTAGCAGGTTAAGGAAGTCGGAAGCAACAAGCTGAAGCGAGCTATATGCTGTTCTGACAAGCTTTGGAGACTTCACAGTTAAATTACCCTTAATCCTATGGGCATGTTGGGATGAAGCGGGTTTGCTCCCGTTCTCTAGGAGTAACTGCGGTTTATCAAATACACTTGATATCAGGTCAAACACCAAGTCCCATCCGGCAACCAACGATTCTCCACACTCCTCCAAAATAGATTTTAGCGTCTCGAGTGCAAGTTCATGGACTTCAAAATCGGATGCACGTTGTGAAGACTTCGCAGTCTGACTTATGTCATATAAAGTCGAGATCTGAATTTCCAGAGCATGCAGGCCGCGAAGTTGAACGTGATTTCGTAAGTTGGGATCGTCAGAGTTTCCGAGCTTTATCGAGTTAAACACAACGTTGTCAAGAACCTGGCTCGCATTCGAACGCAGGGACTGATTGATTTGGCTATTTCGAGTGATGGATATGAGATCCTCAACTAAAATGTGCCAAATCCCTTCTTCATCTTTGGGGAGGGCTAGTCGTTCAATATTGGCTTTGGCCAACTCATTCACTTTTGTTAAGACAAATTTCAACTCATCATCTTGAATTCTCGACTTTCCCAGGGCGATAGAAAGAGAGCGCTTGTTTTGATGAATGCGTCCTGTGGGCTTAGAATGTGGCGTAGACTGTGTGGATATAGGAAGATACTCAGGGGTGGTGTCCGGAATGGCCTTGTTAGTCTCTTCTGATAGACGTAAGAGGGCAGTCAAAATGTTCTTGAATGAGGAGCTATGATACTCTGCAGTGCTCTCAAACATTTTAGTCGCTGCAGCTTCGACAGCCATGATTTCAGTTCCAAGACCAGCTTTGGAAGGTTCTAAGGAAGGGGTAGCGTTGAAATCACTGGTCTGATTCGCAGATGTAGGCTTAGGGGTTGCGATGCTGGAAACGCTGATGATCAACTCTGCATGCTGAAGCGTTTCGAGTATTATTGACCATGCAGCCTGGTCCAAAGTAGGACCCAGTGCTATTCCAAGGTTAAGCAGGGCACGCAAACACAATAATTTACGAGTGCTAAGAGTAGCAGAACTGTGATCCGCTAGTGGAGCGAGTGCATCAGGAGTAGTTTGGGACTTTTGTAGAGGCGATTCGGCAGTAGGAGAGGCTTGGGAAGTAACACTAGGAGACCTGTGAAGCGTGTTGATAGTAACGGGACCGACTGAGACAGCGGCCTTCCCAAGAGTAGTGAGAAATGTATCTCGTGGAGTGGATAACCTCAATAGACCAGCAACATGAGTTAACTTCTGGAAGGCTCGGACCAGATTGTGATAGAACTCTTCGTCCAGCGCGGCATATAAGAATGTCGAACAAGTTGCAAGAATAGCAGGCCAGCAGGAATCAATCATGCTCATGATTGCATTAATGTCATCGATCTGGGGGTGGGATTTGAGGTCTAAAGGGTTTAGCGGAACAGCTGATCTCTTCGAAGATGTGCTAGAGTTACTACGCTGAAGTTCTGGAACGTCACTCTCTTTATTCGAGGTGAGCCCTCTCTGTTTTCGTTTGCTTTTAGATTCCGGAACTGTCAATGGCAGGATGAACCTTGCAACGCTCTCCGAAAATGCACTTATGCAATTAAGAACAAGGCTGTAAATATAGGTCTCTGGAGGCATTGGGTTCTCGATTTTGTCCAACGTTTCGAGGTACGGAGTACGAACAAGGCTCCATTGGCTGCTGATACCACACATACTCTCATTCGTGGCTGGGCCTCCAATAACGCCAGCAACAGTGACAGTCTCAAGAGCAACTTGCTCGTCCATAGTATTTCTTGAATTCGAGATACCCGTTGGTAAAGTTGACTGATGACTGACACCAATAAGTGACGGCTTTTCTAAAGCTAGCCTCACCAGACAAGCCATATGATCACGGACGATATCCCTGCGACCTTTCTGGCCGTCAAACAGTACGTAGATAGCCCTAATAAGCCCCGGGTCAGAATATAACGCTCTGAATATCTCCATACAGATAACGCGTTTCCAGGGCACTGCAGCATCAGCATCAAGTAAATGGATCAGAAGCCCTAATGCCATCTCGCATTCCGTAATTAACTGTGGTAGATACCCTCTAAGTAGAAGGAGTAATATCCTGGCCACACGGACTGTTAGAGGAAAGCTATACCGTTCGGAAAAGTGCCTCACAGTCAGTGGCATCAACCGGTTACGGAGCACCTGAATTTGTTCTGGATGTTTAGCGAAAACATCACCACTGTTAACCAGGATACTTTCGATTAGCTCAAGAACGAAAATCTTTGAAAGCGACTTGATGTTGAGAAATCCTAATTTTTCTCCTTCGATGAGACGGCAGAGATCATCCAAAATCTATAAAGGCGATCAGCAAGAACCACACAGATATGAAATATTGCACACTATAATTTACCCGCAGCGCATCATAACTGGCAGAAGATATGCGAATCTGCTGTTCATCGACAGTCACGGTAGCACTGGGAACTGAATCTGCCGTCGCTTAAGAAGTAAAGATCAGTATAATGAGATGAAAATTCCGAGGATGAACAGATTGGATTGACATACCGTCCATTTTAGAGACCTTATCAAAGACAGAAACTACGAGCTGTTGCAGTGTGGCTGCAGCTGTATTCGCAACAGATACGGTTTTACTGTTCTGTATGGTGGCGCACAATTCCAAAGTAGATGCAAGAAGCGGTCCACTCAAGCTGATCGCATAATATTGAAACAGCGAGCCTAATGTCTGCAGCACTTTAAGTTGGACATCGAGACCTATCAACCTTCTTAGCACTCATACAAATATCTACCAACCATAGGTGAGGTTATCAACCTAAATTCGTTGTCTCTTGAAGAGCATTGAGAACATCCCTGAGTCGTTCTGGTGGTAGCGCCCGGGAGGCCACCAGCCTCTGGACACCGACCACCCCGATTGCAGCGAGTCGAGCATGACGGGTTTGACAAGCAATCACAAAAGGTTTTACAAAATGGGGTTTTCGAATCAAGTCTCTTGGAAAGTCAGTATATATGAACTAGCCCCATGGTTCTGGGTGAGCCAAACCTGCCGCTAGCTGGGCTTCCGAAGTTGACGGTAAACCCTTCAGCTCTGTCAAGGACTGCTCCGCTGCCTAAATAATGACAAGTCAGTCAATGCTCATTTGGGAGTAGAGATACCTAAGACATTACATTTTTGAGATCGGAATTCTTCCGCTTCGATTCTTGTATTAAATTTGAGAGTTCTGTCTGCAGGATGTGCAAGGTCATGTCAAATGCGAGACTGAGTTCCGCGTCATAACCAGTAGTTGTAACAAGCTGGAAAAGGCAAGTTCCTAACGGGATAATAAGCCTCTAAGATCGGTCCACATTAGAAATACGTGTATGTAAATTTACTAACAACCTAATACAAATCTGTCCACGGAGACAAATATCAAACCGGAAGAAACGAGAGAAACTGCCCAAGCGGAGATACCAAACGTCGTTGAACTTGTCCGCCAGAAATGCACGACTCTGGCACAAGGAGCGCCACTTGGTAAACCAGTAAACCAGTAAACCATGCCGAGACTGATAATTAGTTAAGCACACCGCAGACCAGCAACACGCTAACCCATATAGAGCTAGTCAGGGAAGCTGAGATAATCCACAGGAGTATGACGCAGCACGTGTCCTGCCGCGTTTAAAGCCCTTCCTGCTGGTTGGATCCCAACCAGAACCTCTTTTGGTCGGGTGTTGCAGTGAACCTCATCCACTCTTTCATGTCCATACTTTCTGCTTTTGATATTGCAATTCGCCCTAGCTGATCCCTTGCATAATATCCCTGCTACAATGGCCACTGTCGTTCCCCGAAACTTTCGTTTACTGGAAGAGCTTGAAAATGGAGAGAAAGGGCGAGGTGCTGGTGTGTATATCGTTGTCTTGTCTGGCACATGTTGCGAGCTCGATGCTGACTATATCTGATCCTGCTCTTAATAGAAGCCTGCTCCTATGGCCTAGCTAACGGAGATGATGTGACCATGACGAATTGGAATGGAACCATTCTAGGGCCTCCTCATGTTAGCCCGATACTTGTCTACATCAACTAGAAGCTCTCATTTTAACCGTGATTAATTAGAGTGTCCATGAGAACCGGATATACAGCGTCAACATCCAATGCGGTGAAAATTACCCTGATGCCCCACCAACTATCAACTTTGTGTCCAAAGTGAACCTTCCGTGCGTTGATTCTCGAACTGGTAAAGTATGCGTCCTTCACTCTAGCACACTGGCAAACGATATGTTATAACAGTTCCACAGGTAGACCTGACGAAGTTACCTCGTCTTGCTGTATGGAAGCGAGAATTCACGATGGAGACGATCTTGTTGGAAATTAGAAGGCAAGCAAGCATCACTCCGAATATAATCCCCTATCTATTCTAACTAAATCCATAGATTTATGGCTTTACCAGAAAACAAGAAGATCCCTCAACCCCCTGAGGGATCCAATTTCTAGATGAAACATTAGGATACCTCTCTCATTATGACTCAACGGGAGTACTGCTTTGGGAAGATGTGTTAAATGACTTTTGAGCGTGATATGTATGATCCCCCGCATTTTATGAACGGAACTTTATCGTAAGCAGGGGGTTTGACCCGCCATAAACTTCGCAGTTCACAGGATATGAGCGTGTTGATTTTTCTTTCTTTTTTTTTCTCCCTGATGAATTATAAACCATTTTTGGATATTTGTTGGCTTTCAATGCCATACTGAGGTGTGCCGCATCTACTCATGTCTCTTCGGATCTATCAAAATTTGAGAATGTACTAGATCATGTGACTTAACTACATAGGTGCAACCGAATGAATCTGTTTCGGTTATTGATAAAGCTAACTCCAAGGACACCCTAAAGAGCTTTCTTTCCAAGGTTGCGAAAGATGTTGAATTAACGCCTACAAAGAATACATTTTCGAATGCCCCCATTTCTGTTACCAAAGAGTTCGGGCGTCCATAGACTAGCATGTAGGTTCGTTACAGTGGATAAATGGCTGGGTTCCTCTGACTTACAGCTTCGTCCATAGGTCTTTCGCTCTATCACGCCCTCCTTTCCCAATCCTCCCGCCTGCGCTTAATCAACATCCAACCAGCACAAATACAAACCCTAATAAAGTCCAATTTCCACAAATATAAGCACTTGCAAAGCCCAAGCCAGATCGTTAACTCCTTGAAGGCGGGCTACGAAGTAAGCCTGACCAATCTTTACTGATGCATAATAATATTTCATACTAATAAAATATGCGCAAGGCATTGGATTTACTACATTCATGCAACCAAGGAAATACAGATAGCATTGACCGTCTTGGGCGCATTATTCAGCGCACCATTGATCTCAAAAAGGAAATCCACAAAAGCCGCGAAGTCCAAGCTGCCAACCACCGCCCCGAGAACCGCAACACCCACGCTCTTAGGAAAAGGGCAGAAGGCCGAGCAAGGAGACGTCCGGAAGCGCTGCGTCCGCACCCGGATACAGAACCTATCTTGTCCCGCCCAAGGCTACATATCAATGGGCCCCGCCACGTTCCCGTGCTTGTCGATGCCCGGGGTATTCCTTTCCTTCGAATCAAGAAGCCACAGTCCCCGAATTTGAGCCGAACAATAAGGAGCAAGTTAGATGCACGATGGAAAAAGATACTTCGTCAACAGAAGTTGGAGGACGACTTCTACCTCGCACAGCAGGAGGATGCGTGGGATCGTATGCTTGGCCAGCAAGATGAGGCTGGTTGGACTTCAATCGTTAGCGAGTACCTCGATTACACTATCAGAGCAATACAACATGAGGACCGAAAGAGCAAAGAACTTGTGCGGAAAATGTGGGAGATTGTGCTGAAGGAGCGTGAGCTTGCGGAGAAGGAAAGAGAGGAAATAAGGAGGCAGCGACTAGCGCAGGCTGAATCTCTCAATACAGACCAGGCCGGGGGCAGACCGATAGATGAAGTGAAGGATGTCTCTGCTAAAGGAAGTGGAGAAAATACCATCCCTGAAAAGCTTCCCTCTCAATCGAACGAAGAATCACGCTCCTGATGGTATTACTGCTGCGCCGTGCCTGGTACAAGCTCATTCTTGATACAGGGAAATTTAAGGCTTGTTGTGCCAAACTTTCATTGTCAGTGATCAAAGGATGACAACATATAACTTACGTCATCCCTGAAAATTGTTAATCACCAACTTTTGAGGGAATCTAGTTAACATGCAGTTAATCAGAACCACTTCCTCAAGCTCATGTAATTTCATATTGTAGTTAGAGCTCTCAGAAGAAATGGAGCAGAGCAACGATTCATTTTATCTAGTGCCTCAAACACCCACTCCTGGAAATGGGGAATCAAGTATATGCTAAGAAGACAAGGATAGATACGCAATACCAAGTATGGTTGTTCTTCTGTCCCGTACTGTATAATCTCCCAAGTCCATCTAGGGCTTTGCTCAATGGATTCAGGAACTGGCTCCAGTATAGCCCAGTAATAAAGGCGCTGGTAAACACTATCCTAAAGTTGAAGGTACATACATGCGTATGTGCCTGATATTACTTACCTTCCTTAACACAGCCGTCATTCTACTCCTGATATGATAGATGTTCCCAAAATGCCAGGTGTCCATTTCACATCGATTATATTTAAAAGGAAGACCTCAATAGCATATCATAGTGATACAAGTTCCACCTTTTCCATATCTGTCGGGAGAGAATCAAGATCATCTTCGTCATAGTCCACCTTACCCACCAGTCCTCTCTCCCACAATTCTTTCCCTGTAAGCCTCTTCTCCTCTTTTGCAACAGACTTCTTCTTCTTGTCTTCCGTCTCCCTCTCTTCTCGTTTCCTTCGCTCCAACTCCTCCATCTCCTTCTGGAACCTACTCCTCCACTCCAAAAACGACTCCCGTGTTACTTCAGCGCCGTGAAATTTGCGATTCTCTTCCTCTTCTGCCTTGGCAGCTTCCATTTCCTTTAATGCCTGAACAGCGGCCTGTCTCTCGGAAATAAGCAGCTCTGCGCCCTCCTTTAACATATCAACAAGGGAAAATATCATCGCCATCCCCATATTTTCTTCAATGGTGGTCTGCAACGACTCTAAAAGACGATCGCGGTCTTCCTGTATCTCAAGGTGGGGGTGTTTGGGTGCATTTGGAGGGGAGAAGAGTTCGAGGTCTGGAGCAACGTCTGGATATTGAGGCGGGTATGAAACCTGTAGTATGAGGACGGGAGGTTCTGCATCATCATCATCACCTGCGGCATCAGCGACATCCAAGGTTATCGATATTCGATATGCGGTGTCAGAAATATCTGGGGTACATACATTAGTTCTCAGTGGAGGACCATAAAGGCGAGAAGGAGGCTATACCTGTAATTTCATTTGCAAAAATCGACTTAAGCGTCTCCCGTTCTTCTTGCTGCTCTCCGATGCCCATTGTGCTTTCACGTTAATGGTGAAGCTCGCGGGAAGGGGTAAGATCGGCGCAGGGTCGCTGGATCCGTAGATGGCTCTTGCGAAAGATCAGATCCCGGACAAGTATATATTATAAATCCGCTCGAGGGTACGAGGAAACTAACATGTACGGTTCAAAACCCAACTTCAAGATTTATTCTTCAAGGCATGCAATGAGTATATTAGTTGTTTCTATGAGACGCTGCTGGTGGTGTCAAATGGCAATGTTATTTATCGAAGTTAACCCCTCTCACATGCAAACAGAGCAAACACGAAAAAAGTGTCGAGCGGACTTGATTAAATATCATCTAGATCAGCAGAAAGGGATAGTTATTCATTGCAAATTAGTTAAAAGGCCTAACATTTTACATACTGCTATAAACGGCAGTTGAGAAATGTCCATATGGCCAAAACACGACCCTCAAAGAAATCCTTAAAAAAAAGAGCAAGATCCGGGATTGATGGCAGCGGATCTGCTGCGAGGAAAGTGAACGAAGATCCCGCAATTCTTTTCGACCAAGCCACCGTCCTCCTTCAAACTGGTCAACCAGAGGCCGCCCTTCCTCTCGCACAACATGGATTCGATATTGCTACGACCGGATCCCCTAATGCGCTACTAGGGTTGAACTTGCTTGGCCAAATATTTGTTGAGCTGGGGGAGATTGAGGCTGCGCGAGAACATTTCACACGGGCAGTTGCTCTAGATCCGAATGGAGAAATCCCCGAGTCCGAAGGAGGTGGCGCGGAGAAATTCCTATGGTTGGCGCAATTGAGCGAAATTGGCGGAAAAGATAGTGTGAACTGGTTCGAAAAAGGGGTAGCAATCTTACGACAGAGAATACAATTGTTAGAGCAGGGCGGCAAACCTGATAATGTTTTGGCTGCGCAGGAACAGAAGAAAAAGTTGGCGCATGCTTTATGTGCAGTGGTAGAAATATACATGACAGATCTATCGTAAGTCATTTGGATCAGATTTTGAAGGAGTGCCAGTACTGAAACGAAGCTTTTGAAACAGATGGGAAGAGGATGCCGAAGCTAGATGTGAAGCTCTGGTTACGGAGGCGCTTATGGTTTCCCCTGATTCGCCGGAATGCTTGCAGACGCTTGCTTCAGTCAGAATATCACAACTTCGGCATGATGATGCCAAAGCTGCGTTGTCGAGAAGCCTTGAGTTATGGAAAGATCTACCGCCAGAAAGCCCCTTGGTCCCAGACTTCCCCGCAAGAATAAGTCTTTCCCGGCTTCTGATGGAAGCCCAGATGGAAGGTGAAGCGCTCGAAGTATTAGAGAGAATGGTTCTTGAAGATGATCATAGCGTTGAAACATGGTACCTGGGAGGATGGTGTCTATATTTGTTAGGGAAGAGTGAAAAGCTTCCCCCTAATAGCGGGAACCTCCCAGAGGTCGAACTACAACAATCTACACTACGCTCCAGCCGAAGTTGGCTCAAGCAAAGTCTAAAACTTTATGAGCTGGTTGGGTATGAGGATGTGAAGTTGAAGGAACATGCTGAAGAACTCGTCCATGATCTCCAAAATCAGCTAGGCGATGTTGATGTCGATAGCGACGATGAGGAAGATGTGGACGGAGAATGGGAAGATGAAAGCAATTGTCTAGATGATGACGATGACGGCAATAACAAAGATCAGAAAATGTCAGATTCATGAGCGCAGTTCAAAGTAAAGATATCATAGGATTTTTGTTTATAACTTAAATGTCAGCTTTTTAGATACCAATTTTAGAGAAAAGAAGGGTAGCTTTTCCACAGGATACGTAGAATACAAAGGCAGATTCATGAATCCTTTTATTTTTTTATAAGCTTCCCATTCCTATCAAAACATTCTCCTATCATAGCTTTGTTTCAGGGAGTGCGGCGGAGCCGGATTATTACAAATCCGGGTTAACGTTACCTCAGAGATAACTCTCGATTGTCGCCGTTAAAGCTGCGACCTAAAACCACTTTAACCACCCACGGCCAACCACCACCACCACCACCAATGTAAGCTGGAACGGCTTGCTACTGGTCGGGCACCATCCTGCTTCTCGAGATGGATCCAGTGCCGGCGCCTGCGGTGAACGAGCTCCGTCTGAAAGCTTCCGTGGTGGAGGTGACAGCAAATGATGGGCCGATATCAACTCCCCAAGGACACCGCCCCGATGTCGCTGAGGTCATGTCACAGCCCGACTCTGACACTGAAGACAGTGATTCCGACACATCGGAGGACTCCGAGTGCTCCGATAATAACTGGGAAACAAAGTCTCTTTACGAAGATTCTCTACAGTTCATCCGCGATGACCAGTTACATGACGGTATAGAACTTCCTTCCTCAGCCCTCGGTCAGACAAATATAAGCAAAAACTGATCCAAAGGATTCTGTAGTCCCAGGGACATGCACATTAGCGGAGGCTGTCGCCTTTCGAAAGCGTCTTCATGCGATAGGGAAGGCTGCATTTGCGGAGGAGACCATAGGGCAAGGGACAATCACCGCGAAAAAACTTTGCACTGCATTTGGCATCATGCCTCCCTCGTTTTTTGAAGGCGCGCCAGACAGGGCATACCATCCCTTGCTCATTATGGGAATTAACCGCGAATATTCAAGGCGGATCAAACTACCAAATTACAATACTATCGATGATGCTGTCGAGCTATTGAAAAGGGCAACGAATATTATCGTCTTAACTGGCGCTGGTGTAAGTACCCTGAAAGCTTTACTTGTAATAATAGATTAGACAAAGGATGCTAATGCAAGGGTTCTCAGATATCTACTAGTCTTGGAATTCCAGACTTCCGTTCGAAAGACACCGGCTTGTATTCTAAGTTGGAGTATCTCGGATTGACCGACCCCCAGGAAGTTTTCGATATTAACTTGTTTCGTGAGGACCCCAAAATATTCTACTCCATTGCAAAGGACATTCTTCCGACGGAAAAGAAGTTCTCTCCAACCCATGCATTTATTCGCCTCCTTCAGGACAAAGGGAAACTACTCACAAATTTTACCCAAAACATTGATAATTTGGAAGCAAATGCAGGGATCCTGCCCGAAAATCTCATCCAATGTCATGGATCCTTTGCAACAGCTTCCTGTGTGAAGTGCAAATTTCAGGTCCCGGGCGAACAAATTTTCGACAGTGTTAGAAAAGGAGAGCTTCCCGAATGCACTGCTTGCAAAGAGCGAATCAGGAACGAACTTTGCGGAATGAAAAGAAAGCGTAACTCAAACGGAGCCCATAAAAAGGATCGCAAACGACAAAACTTTGGCGATAGCTCCGAGGATGATAATGACTACGATATTCCTTCTCCTGGAGTCATGAAGGTGCGCTATTGTCGGCTCCCCGAATACAAAACACGTTCCGGCTAATTTGCCGGTTTTGCTAACTGGAATAGCCTGATATTACTTTCTTTGGTGAAGATCTCCCAGATGCGTTCTCGCAACGCCTAATTGGTCACGATCGTGAACGTGCAGACCTTGTCATCGTTATCGGTACATCACTGAAAGTGGCACCGGTTGCAGAAGTTCCTGGCATTCTACCTCGCAATGTTCCCCAGATCTTAATTTCACGTGACGTATGTAAATGGGCAATTACAATCTTTATATCATTGAGTGCTAATATCCCCTATTTTACAGCCCGTGTCACATATTGATTTCGATATCGACATGTTGGGTGAATGCGACGTTGTTGTCTCTGAACTATGCCGTCGCGCCGGCTGGGATTTACAACACGAGATGATTCTCAAAGATCAGAAAGTCGACATCACATCGAAGGAAGGTTGTGTCTCACGATTTTGGTTTACAGCTGTTAACCCGTAGAATAGTCTTTTCCTTTTCTTGTCCTCTTTAATTTCTTCGGTTCTCACTTCATTCCTACAAAGTTTCTCCCCATCGTTCATCTTTTCTTCATTTTCCAGTGTTGTCAGTTCCCCAAAGCTTTTCGATAGATTTTTGCCTTTATGTACTTTCCTCTGTTTGGCCTTTCCTTTCTCACAATTTTCTGCTCTACCTGTTGGATTTGTTTCTCCTTTTTACCATTCTTCGCATAGATGTTTCTGTAACAATACCTCTCCACATTTGTCTGCACACTTTGTTCTCCCAATATCCCCTTTCGGCCCTGTTATTACTTGCATTCTTTCGTCGGGAACTCGGTACGGTTGGGTTTGCACTATCAGATGGACTAGGTTCTATTAAGTTTTAGGGTTGCGTCAGGGTTTTCTCTTTTATGACTATGCGGATGGATTGTTAGGATGGATATCTACATCTTTTTTTTGTTAGTGAACATTTCCCTCTGTATATTTCCGGCTTGTCTTCTTGACGTCCTATCTGTTGTTCGTAAATTCCCAACCTCTGGGAGCCAAGAATACCACAGATATTCTCATAAGAATCCGAATGAAAGTACGGAAACTGACAATGTAAACGATTGACCCACATAAGATCTATGCCATCGTACCCTAACTTCAAAACCAGATGGTTTTTAAAACTAGAACATATATCATTTACATTACTCCAGTTACCCACCCAAAAAAAAAGAGAAAAAAACACTACTCTGGTGCAATACCATACATCAATCGCTAACCATTAAAAAAATATACGCAAACGGGTATATATCTAAGACTCACATGATTTCATAACAATACATAAATACACACCGATACCCACATGAATTCTAAGTGGAGTTCCTCCTCTCAAAACTGGGTCTTTCTATCCTCTTCTCACTACCGTCCTTTGATGTATTCCATCTCTCATCCATGCTCTTTCTTTCCTTGTCATTTTTCCTCTTCTTATCAACCTTCTTTATCGCTTCTTGCGTTAGCTCTTGCCGGAACATCTTCTCAATGACCTCTATTTTTCGTGTCCTGCGGCCCCCAATCCATATCACAATGCCAGCAGCAACATTACAGGAGATGGAGCAGCAGAGTATCACAGTCGTGAGAGCAAAAGGACGCACTTTGTAATATATGCCCCACGTGCATGCGCCCAGCGCAATCTGGAATAGAGAGTGGAAATCCAGTAGCACAATTGTGGCGACGAGAAGGCGCAGGGGAAACGCAGTGTGTGTTGTTGTCTCATGTGGTTTGTAAAATGTGTGAGATTTCGAGAGTTTCTCCTGGTGGTGTTCGAGACGCTTCTGTTGCTTTGGGGTAAGAACGGAATATTCTTCAGGTTTGTCTTTCTCTCTGTTATCGCCGTTGTGGATGTTGTCGTTGGCCTTGTTTGGTGTAGCCATTTCGACGTCGATGTCATGATTTACGTTGTCAACTGTCCTTACCGGAAGGTCATTTTTGTTCTCGAGTTTTGGGAGTTCTTTTTCCCGTCGCAGACGCCAGGTGAGGCGGGCATAGTGAGCTACAAAGATCATGTGGTAAGTGTCTATAGCACGGAATGGGGCGAGCCCGTCTCCTACTACAGCAAATAAGGCGACGAGAACGTTGTCGATGACGTTGATGATGTAGAGCTGGCGGCCACCAACATTAATCCAGCCTACAAAGAACAATGGCATTAATTTGGGTTAAGTGGACTGGGAGCATAGATACACATACCTATTAGGAACAAAACCCATGCAAGCCCAAAAAGAGTAATCAAAGTCGCGTACAATGTTACCAAAAAACCAAGGGCTGCTTACCAACTTTGGTTAGTTGTTCGTCATCCTGATACATATTTAAATGTCATCACTTACGTTTCCGGGCATATTGACAAAATCCTTTCATAGAGCGCTTGAACTTAGATCTTCGAGAATGAAGCATATGCCTGACATGATCGTTGAGTTCTAGCTTTTCTGCCTCACTCCAACCCGTGAGTGTCTCTCCATCGGGTAAGACGGCGAAACACAACTCATCGATCACCGCTGATCTGGAACTTTGTAAACGTAAACGTCGTGATATACTTGCATCATCTGTATCCAGAGTCTCTTGGTCGCTCTCACGCTCCTGCTCGGTGGAAGATTCGTCATAAAGACGAGGAGTCAAGGAATATAGTGGTCTTCGATTCAAAAAGTTCCCAAGATCAGGGATGAAAAGCGAATTCTGCACATTGGTAAGGGTAGTGAGTGTTGAAATTTCAGGGTCTATTCATCTTGTCAGTTTCCTATTGGGATAGAGATGTCAAGTTAGAGGATTTATATACCAACAACATCGAGAAGATCCACCAGTCCAGTGTCGTATTCGTTAGGTAACCTATTTGATGCTGCCTCTACTTCAGGGCCGTTGACCGTGGAAGCACGAATCAACCCCAGAGATGACAATGCAGACACGCTTGCCCTACGCAGTTTCGTTCGGTTCCGAGATAGCTGGGGGCGTGCACCTAATTGTGGCGACACATTCTTCGATGGTTCCTCCGCCACGGGAGACATTGGTGCATAAATTGCCGCAGTTGGCATGGTATTAGCCGAGGGTTCACCAAATATCTGCCTCTGCTGAGGCTCTGAGCTGCTTCGACGTCGAGTTCTGATGTCCACCACATTGTGCTGAATGGGGATATTGTCCCCTTGCAAATTAGATAGTCGCGTCACTAACTGTGCGGAGGGCCGCCGTAGCACTCGTATACTGGGTCTTTGTGATCGTGCTAGTAGCAATGCGCTTCGGGTCTCATTCGAAGCTCCAGCACCCGAGGATGCGGGAGGTGGAGTTGGAGGAGGGACTGATATCTCCTCCAAGATGGCATCGTGAGGGGTCTCCGTACGATCCATGAAGATTAGAGATATTGGAGATATTGTTGCAACGTGTATCTGCACTGGCATGCTACCATATAGATGGAAGGGCACCACCACCTATAAACATAAGCGCATTGCGCACACATTTTCAGGAACAGGTTGAAAGTCCCACGGGGTTTGCTTCTTAGTCTTCCAAGTTCGATGTCACCAAGAATGACTAAAGATCCATGCTTGATCTGCTCACGTCATAGTGCTCGAGGTTGGTTGGTTGGTTTTTAATACTCTGCATAGTAGTTCCAATTCCTAGCTAAAGAAAGTCAACGACGTCAGTCGATTGGATGTAGTTAACAACTGGTCTCAAATTATTAATCCAGCAGAGAGGGAACGCCATTGTGAGAACGGGCAAGCAGTCCAATCCTCCACCATAACCCGAAGATTCTCTTAGCCAGACTCGGTATCTGACTAATTTTCAACGAGTTAACTAAATATTCAATGTGATGCTCAACTATTGTGGTGAAAGGATTTCTGTTGAAAGATGAGTTTTCTCAGTGATATTAGCAAAATCAATATCAAAACATATCAAAAAGACCGTGTACTTCAACATATTATAGAATCCTTCAATGTTGTAACCTGGTCTCGCCGCAGTGGTGTCTCTGCAGTGACGTCATGTAGCTATAACTATTGGGTGAGCTTGACCAACTGCTGATCTTAATATGCTCTGACAGAGAGAGATACTGTCTAATCAAGGATGCTCATATCATACAGAAACTCATGTTGTGCTTCAAGTATCAAATATCCTAGAAATGAAATACTGGCTATCAGGATGATGAGTCAGATAATATTTATAACTGGTTAACTAGTTAACTAGATAGTTAGTTATTAGTTAGCCATAACTTAATAATTAACATAACTTCGCACTGCTGTCATGCCCGATGTCAAGGCACTTCATGAGATTGTTCCAAGGTGCTGTGACAGCACGTAGTTTCACCAACGATTTTCGCATCATGGTATGACCTCATCGTTTCTTGTGAAGGTTATTCATTATGTTGCCTCTGGACGCAGCCAAGGGGACTACAATTCGGGCCACATTCTAGGGCCGTCTGTTATTTGCTCGCCTATTTAGTTACTGCGTTTCAGGGACACGCACTTGTTCCTACTGTGTAGGTGGTTCCCATCGGCATACGGTCACTGAATGCTTCAATGTGAAACAAGACATAGGGTTGAGGCTCAAAATCTCTATCATCCTGTCAATCGCAATTTCTGCAACTCTCAAGCTGTGGAAAACATAGCCTCCTGCTGAGGATCACCTTTCCAACACAATGGAGCCGATCTCTTTCTTCAGCGCGATTCGTGCTTAACGTATTCCTAGATGCCCAACGTGGCTCTGCCCCTTTATGCAGCCTGGCCTACGACCCTTCAACGCAATGCGGTCGACAATTCTGATAAGGCTCTTGGGACTGCGCTTGGTACAGCTGCTATTTTCAATCTTTTCTTGGCTAACTGCCAGTTATTTACATGCAACCAGAGCAAACCAATACCACTAGCCTTATAATCCATATGGTTTTCTTGACTGGTATATACTCAGGCAATATATCAGGCTGCTTCGCCCAGCGTCAACCATCTGCTTTACTGGCAGTGGGCTTTTCGTGTCTCAACATAAAGTCATATATGTGGTGCCAATTATGAAATATCTGAACCCCGCAGAGCACTCTATAGCCATAAGGGGCTTGATCAGAATCTCAATAAAAATGCTACTTGGATAGGGGACATCCAGACCTCTCCCCACCACACTTATATGCTAATCTCACTGGCCGCTTTATCATCCTCCTCATCAAGGGGCGACAATTATCTATCTTCGATCGACATTCAACTGGAAGCAACCTCCCAAACCAGCCATGGCGAGTTTCGACGTGTGGAGCCCCGTCATTTCCTTCCTCGCTATGATCCAGTATATAAACGCGTTGGTGGGCGCCCGGGGGGAGATGCGATCAGTTGACGGCATTATAAATTGCACCTACGACGTCTTTCTTACCGTCAAAGATGATTTTGAAAAGCTCCAGGACTATCTACCCAGTTCACGCAAACGATACTCCGAGCGCCAGATCAACCGCACCGAGAGAGAATTGAAAAAGGCGCGAGATATACTGGATATTGAAGAAGACCAAAACATGGGGAAACGACGGATCAACGATGTCTATTGGGTCCTGAAACGGAAGGCCGATCTACAGATTTGTTTGACTGCTCTTCATCAATGTCATAGCACGCTGTTGGAAATACGGTTGGAGTTGGCTATCTTGGAAAACAAACTGCCATGGGTCACAGATCGTTTTACCCTGGAGCCAAGAACGTTGTCATATCCACGTTTAGGATCATCTGGAGACATGAATAATGTGCAGGGGAGACTAAAGTGGGCTCAAGGTAGGCTATCCGTTTCTGCTTATTTTCGTATCATGGACACGCGCAGTCACTGATTACTCTTGGAATGTATATTAGGAGACTACTCAAATGGTAGTATCCTGACTCTGCCAACCTCGATGCGTCAACGAAATCTCCTCGCAAGCCCACCGTTATCCTCCCGCAGCGGTTCCTCAACGATCTCCCCGCGATACTCAGCTGTAGAAGAGATGAGCTTGTGGCTTCTACAGAAGCGCCGCGACGATGTGTTTGTATAAAGGATTTGAAGGATTAGGAGAACATGGTCGATGCCATGATTCCTGATTTCTCGAGATCGATTTTTCTGCCCCCCCCCCCCCTTGAGGATGATATCTGTGTTTCCTATTTTACTTGCGCGTTTATGACCTTGTGAGTTGCTACGAATTGGATTGTGCGAAGTTGAAATAATTTTGGGATTGAGCTATTTCTGTTTTTTTTCCTTGACCAGGCTGAAACTGGCTGGTTCAAGAATATACTGACTACTTTTGCCCCCCGGGAAATGCTAGGGTGCTAGCTAGAGAGAAACGAACTGCTATTGGTATAATCGGAGTAGGCTGTCAGGCACCCGCGAGTCCAGAAAATATTTAATACAACCCCCCCCCCCCCCCCCCCCCGATCCTTGAGTGCTTTATGGCCCTAGGCCAGCTATTTTTTTTCCACTGGACCCTGTTCTAGAAAGCTTGCCTCCAATCCGCATTGGCATTATCAGCCCGTCAGCTATATGGAGGAGTTCAGGCCCCTTTGCCCTAACCAACGTGAGTGGTATCAAGAGATCACCGGGAAAAGATCGACGGGCCTAAACCGCTTTTTAATCG